GACAAAAGAAAAAGAAAAAAGAAAGGACGTGTCTAACAATCCCTCAAACTGACCTACCTTTCCATTCTGGTAGTTTTCAAACAGTTCTTTTGGCTGTTAAACTTGGGAATTTTCATAGAATACGAGGGGTTTGTCTTTCAAGTATCAAGTATTCAAGTTTCTTTCAAGTATCAATAAATAAGTGGTAACTTGTAATGGCGAATAGAGTTGGGCACTGTCCCTACCAATATCTTGAGAACTTTAGACACTGGCAAACAACAGACAATGGTCCAAAAAAAGAAAGGAACAAATAATGGTGGGTGATATGGGTCTATCAATGGAAGGCAAGAAAACCAACCATTTTATTGGCTAAGGAGAAAGACTTAGGTCTGTGACTATCAGTTGACGTCAGGATTGAATACAGGTTCTTTGGTGTGGAAGTTCTGAACGTCAAGAAAAGTCGTTCTGAAGAATGGAAAACAAGTAATCCGACCCATCAGTGTAAAAGACACGCCGACCTAAACAAAAAAATCCTATTGTTCTCTCTCTCCCTCAGCATTATATCAGCTATTTCAGAGTGAGAAGAAAACATATTCAGTAAATAGTATTTGAAGTTCTGAGGAAAACGGACGTAATCTCTAGTTGATCAAAGGCTCGCTTCAGGGCAAGATAATCTTCGACTGAATTTATAGGACGATAAACTAAACATTTGTCAGCAAAGAGTTTAATGCTAGATGTGATATTAGTAGGTATGTCGTTTTTAATGTCACAAAAAAATAAGGCCCAGACCTGGCGACCACGAAGAGGCAGAACCGCTCACCACAACTTATTGGCTGTCCACAGTTAAAAGCAAGAGAGCAAGGTGTGAGCGAATTCTGTTGTAGTGAGTATCATGAAAAAGACGTTCAAAAGCCTCTGCAAGATCCAGGAGTGTGCGTTCCACATGGCCGTAACGGGGAGTTCAAGCAACCACGACAAAGACGACAACGACAACGTCAAGAAAAAAAGAAGACAAAGTCGATAATGGCGAGAGCTTGTAAATTAGTATTTTGGGATCTTTTAATATTTTTATTTCATCATATGTTAATAAAGATTAATTTTATTATTATTGAAACAAAAATACAAACAAAAAAACATCATCAACAACAATTGGTTTTCACGCTTTTTAGTACATTTTTTTGACGTCCACTGCACGAATACGACGTGAAACCTCCTGATGCGATGTTTGTTGGAGGACGTGAACATAAACTAACATACGACGACGAGTTTAAGTCCTTTTATGATCTTGGATAAAGTCCTTGAGAATTCAACTCCACTGGGGGTCCAAAAAGGCGCGATAAACTTTGAAAGGTGACAAATCATTTTCTTGACGACGTTGTCACTGCCTTCGTCGTCGTCCTTGCTAACGCTCCCTAACGGTTGGGCACTGACGACCATTCAACCATAAATGTAATAACTTGTGTATTACATGACACATGAACTCGCTGAAAACCATGCTGATGCTGAGAACGATTGTGCCTGCATAAGTTTTGGTTTTGAACGATACTACTTCCTGTAGACGTGTAGAAGACGACGGGAAGAAAGCTGACCCCATAGGCCTCGTTATCTCATACAACTTTCAAGATCTCGAATGTTTTCCAGCCCAGTATCCCTCAGTAGTGTGTTAATACATGTAGTTGAAGGACATCCTCTTTTTGCCATCCCATTTCAGATGTTGCGCTGGAGAGCTCTCATAACGAAAAACGACAGATAATCGGTGGATTTTTCTTTTTTAGTCTTTCTAACAAAACAGACAGATCTGTACAAAATAAGTGCCCTCACTAGTGTCAGAGCCGAAAGATTTACGTCGACAAAGTATCATAGCGAGGATTTTGGACAAAAAAATCCGTTTGTACCAGTCTAGTTACGAAGTACCGATTCAGGGATGGCACACCCACACAGTGATCCCTCAGCTATCATACTCCTGATCTGTCTAGAATGAGGAAATATATGTTCTTGAGGAGATATGGAAACGGTAACAGCTGGGGAAACAAACTCGTGTTAAGAACGAGAACCCAAATTAAACTCAACCCACAGATGACGTAAGCTCCTGGATTCGAACCCGGGCCACCACTGCACCCACACGTGAATTGTATACTCCTGTTGAACACTTATCTCCACTCATGCCTGCAACATGGGGTGGGGGGAAGGGCGAAGCGCAAGGCTAGCGAGTGAAGGGAGAAAAGAGAAAAGGCTATTATTGTCTCTATTCTGACGCTGTATTCTCCCGTGTGCAAAGTTCAACAGACCTTTTACGTTCCTGCAATAAGTGCAATCATTTCATACATGCATGCAAGAGACTTCTACAACAGCAACACATTTTAGCCGTTGAGATTTTAATTAGTTTTAGAGGATTTTAGAGTTTCTAATGATGTACTTATATGCAAGTCAGAGTTTTTAACTATTAACTTTTAAAAGTAGGTTGAGTTTGATCGTCCGGGTGAACGTAGTCCTGAATAGGACTGTTGTTGTTGACAATGACTGACGTTTCGACAACCTGTGCGGTAGTCATCTTCTGCACAGGTTGTCGAAACGTCAGTCACTGTCAACGACAGTCCTATTCAGGACTACGTTCACCCGGACGATCAAACTCAACCTACTTTTGAAATGACTCCTGGGTTCAAACCTTTCACTATTAACTTTTAGATAGTGTAATCTTCCGTTATTTTATTGCGTATATATTTGGTTTTTAGGTTTATTTTTTATGCGCGACCCCATAAGCTGCATAGCTTTTAAAAATCATCGTACTAAAAGAAGGCTGTCTGTCTGTCTGGCTCAGGCAAGTTAAACGTGCCTATGTTATTTCACGTATCGTGAGTTTAGTTCGCAAGATCTCAGGTCACGCACCCGACGTCTCGTTAACCCAACTTAGTCTGGAGTGACGCATGCATTGGGACGGGGAACGATGCGTGACTCAAGCCCGCGCGGTTGAGAAGGAGTTTAATGCATCAGTGATTCGGTTTCGGTTACCTTAGTGAAGAGTAACGACAATTAAGGGTGTTTATTTCTGTTGTTCGTATCACGACGTTGCCTGAGCTCCAAGGCACTGGAATGAACTAAATTTCTGGGGTTCAGGGAACCAAAAATACATGTAACGACTCCTGTTTTTGATCAACAGATAACACATCTGTGGCAGTAGAGTAGCAAAAACGGTTACAGGATATGGCCCATCATTTTAACACCTTTTTATTGGTCATTCACAGGAGAGCGTGTGTGTAGGCAGAAAAGACAAAACAATATAAAAGTCTAAAGGCGTTAATTTTCTCTTTTTTCTCCTCTCAGGAGTTTCTGGCCTCGCGCTCGTGCTTTAAAACCTTCCTGAGCGCTCCCAATAACGTCTGTTGCACATGGTAGCAACAGGTGTTCCAGGATAACAAACATGCCGCTGCGGGATAGTGTTACGCAAATCAGTTATTGGTTAATCTTGAATTGACAAAGGTCTTACTTTTCCGCATGCCACAACTTAAGTCTCAAAGCTTCCAGATGTTATGGTAGCTTCCCTCGATCAATTGACTCCAGTCTTATCTATCAAGTACCTACTGTAGGCGTCATTCTGGACTTACAGTTGACATTCACTGAGCACACTTCGGCATAACCGTCCTCTCTGTACTTTCAAGTTTGTGTCAAATATGGAGAGCTAGACATTGGCTTACCAAATATGTTTTGAACACAATGCTAAATTCTGTTGTGAGACCTGTTCCAGTACGTTCAAACAAACATCAAGTTACAAATGGTTAAAACAAAATTTTGATGCGCGTATATTGACCGACACCAGTAAAAGCGATCACGTTTCGCCAGTTCTGAATGAACTTGACTGGCTTCCTGTAGCAGATTCTCTGAATGGCTTAATGCCTACCTACTTAGGCTCAAAACTAACAAAGCATTCGGGAAAGCACGAGTCTCATACCAGAAATAGAGATGAACTAACCCTTCCCAAACGTCGCACATCAACTGCTCAGCGCTGCTTTACAGAGCTGTAACACATTAAAGGACAGGTTTACAAGTCAGTCAATAAATATTGTATAGATATTGTCAAACAATAGATACTGTACGCTTCAACAAGAAAGCTCAGTTAAAATCACTTGTGGTTAGTCTTGATAGCCCATAGCATTTCCGTGTACTAGGCCCTGTCTGGTTTCTGTCCCTGTTTCTTGTTCTGTTAAATTTATTCTGGAAAACCCTACAAGAGAATTCATTATATAAAGTACGGTATTCTAATGCAAACAATTTTCAAAAGTTATAATTTCTTGTTACGGTTAAGAAAGCAGCAGTATATCTAACGACACCAAATTAGTGCTTTGCAGATAAGGAAACTATTTTTAAAGGACACCAAATTGTAACAGCGGATTAACTGACCTAAAACTACCGTGCTTTTCATTAGAGAGCAGGAATCCAAGCAAACAACCAAAAGCTAAGCTTTAAGAATGGGCACGACTATGACATAAGTGCCCATCACGAACTCAAACGTTCCGTTTACGCCAAGAGGCGGGGGGCACAAAAATTTCAATCCATCTATAAAAAAAGACTTAAATACAATAGGAAAACTGAGCTTACAAGACGTGGAAAAAGCGCCAAGGTTCGTAACGTCAAGCACGCTCAACAAACGTGAGTCAAACTAAAACTAATATCCTGTATGTACCTAACCGTGTCAACATTCATTCCATCACTTGTCGCTAATACTGTTTTGGTTGCATTATGACCTCAAGGGCGTGCATGAGGAAACAATAACAGCTGACTCATGAGACCATGCCGAGATCACATATCTCAGACACTGGTCATATCCTGTCGCGCTTATTCAAGCCAATCATTCATCATTCCTCAGTCAAGCACAACTGTTGTTTTTCAGTAGACACGACCATCCAAAGGGAAAGAGCACCGTTATCGTTGAAATTGCCAAAGAAAAAAGAAGTTTTCAAAAGCAATTCAGTTGGTTACCATACAAAGGAAAAGAGTGTTGAGCCAAAACAAGTATCATCACAATCATGGATTTTATTTGTGCAGAAACAAATTACAGATCAAATGAAGAAATCGGTCAACCGCTGAGCTTTCTAGACAGGCATCAAGACATCGGTACCGAGAAAGCTAACACAGAACAAAAGACACGGTTATCGAAACCACCAACAGCCAAGATGCAATACACAGATCATTCAACGCATTCCATTAGGAATATGCAAAGAAGGGTCGCCATACTTTGCGATTTGGCGCAGTATCAATACACAAGGCGGCACGTGACCCGTGACGCGATATTCCCACAATTCCTCAAAACAACACAACATGGCTGTCGAAAGCAATGGCACTAGAAGGTAAAACTTGATTTGTTTCTGCTAAAACTAAACATATAATTAAATCTAGAGCTACTGTAGATATTTTCGTTTCCCACCAACAACGTAGTCTAACGAAAGAAGCGATATGGAGGAAATTTAAAGTACAATTCAACTACCACAAACACACTACTATCCACTGCTAGCACCTAAATGTGACGATCAATGGAACCCAAAACATCAGCCATCCCCGATAGCTTCCTCTCAAGAAGAAAAAAGAACAATGAACTGAACATAATAAACTTTGGGAGCCAAGCAAGGAATTGCATAGCGATAGCCCGTTTTAGATCTTTTAGATCTTTAGACAGTCAAGCTGGAATGTTATTTTTTTTCAGAACCATGTCACTGGAAGAGGAACTCATGACAAGAAGAGTACACGTGAGTACTGGTATTTATTGCACTTCGAGTTTGTGCTTTCATCTTATATTCGTAACACTCGCATCTCACAAAAGACTGTAATATCAAAGAGTTTCTCGTAAGAGACATGACCTTAGTGCAGTTCACTTGGAATTATCCCAAATAAACCCTCGACCATCTATAAACCAGTGCAAAATTGAACCAGCTGCAAGGAATGTATTTCTTTTTACTTCCTTGTAGAATGAAGCAAGTTTAATTAGGCAGGCCATCCTTCCAAATTCACAAGCCAGGTAAGTGAAAATGGCACCTTCAAAGAAATCATACGATGGAGTGAAATGGGGTTGGCAAAGGATTTTTTTTTTAGGCTCACAAATATGAATCAAGAAAATGTTGATCCGTGTCTTTGTTTTGACATCCATACAGTAATGTAATTTTTTTTTTAGAATCATATCACTGGAAGAGGAGCTAATGAAAATTTCAGTACATGTGAGTACTGGCAGTTATGGAGCTTTGAGTTCGCATTTTCTTTTTTTTTATACGTAACACCTTACCTCGCATAAAGCTGTCATAGATGACACGACCTTGCTGCATTTTCAACTTGGCATAACCTCAAATTAACTCCAGACCATCTAACCAAGGCAAAATTGAACCAGCCGTAAGGAATGTGTTTTTCTTTTTTCTTCCTTGTAGAATGAAGCTTGTTTAATTAGACAGGCCAATCGTCAACATTCACAAGTAAGGCAAGTGCAAAATGGTACCTACATGTATAGTGAAATCTAGTCATCATTGCACTGTTACATTATAGGATGACCTGTAATGGGGATGGCGTAGGTTTCTTGGTTTGTTCAAGATGATGGAAAATGGGTCACACTCCTTAATCAAGCATATGTTGCCACTTCACGTTGATAACATTCAATGAAACGGGCCCCAACTTCATTCCAATTCTTTCCAGAAGTGTGGTAGCACCATGTACCATGCACACAAATGCATGGTGTTACTTTTTGAGTATGCCATCAAAAGTAGAATCTTCTTGTACAATGCTATATTTGCCATTACACAATATCAATGGAATCAAAGACATCAGCCATTTACAATAGCTGCATTTCTGGGACCAAAAAGAACAATGAACTCATTACAATGAACCTTGAAAGCCCTGCAAGCAATTTTATAGCTATACCCCCATTCAGAAGCACATCTTTCTTTTCATATATTTTCATTCATACACGTCGAAACGTTTATTTGTTCTTCAGATGCACGTCTCTGGAAGACCAGCTCATGACAAATACAACATATGTGAGTACTGGCATTTATTGTGCCTTGATTTATTCTTTTCTTTTATTCTTTCAACAAAACACCTCATTTCACATAAGACTGTGAGAGTTATAAAAGCGGTTTCTCATCAGTGACATGACCTTAGTACATTTTACTTGGAATAACCTCAAGTTAACTTTCGACTATCTAACCACTACAAAATTGACCCATCTGTAAGGAACGTGTATTTTTCACTTCCTTGTAGAATGAAGCATGTTTGATTAGACAAGCCAACCGTCAAAATTCACAAGCTGGGTAAGTAAATGTCACCTACAGAGAAGGGCAGTCATCACCACAGTGTTACATTGTACAATGAGGTGTAATAGATTTGGGTTTGTTTACTTGATGAGGGGATAGGTCACAGCTTTTATTAAATTGTTTCACCACTTTAATAACATTAACTGAAACCATCACCTATTTGTTTCACTGCACAATTTCTAGTTGTTTGGGGACATATCAAGAGTACATTTTATCTCGTTTTGACACTGCCTTAGAGGTATTCCCGAAAGATTGCTTATGTTGAGTACTAATGCAACACCAAAAGTGTCATTAAGAACTGTGGCTTGTAAGGAAGACGTCAGTAAAGTTATCAAGCACGGAAGGTTATCAATTCGATACACAGCCACTGTGTTTAATCCAATTGTTTTCTTTGACATTCTGTGGTAGTAAAACAGCATGTGTAAGTGTAAATTGCCATTTTTTTTTTTCACTCGGACATTTTTAATCATCATCACCATCATCATCATTATCATTTTACATTTCCCTGTGTTCCAGGAACTCCCCAGTGCAGTGTGATGTGCTCATTATAAGAACAAATGATGTAAGTTTTAGTCCATTTAACGTGGCATGGCTTAAGTTACCATTTCATTTTGCATCTGAGTACAGCTTAAGGTAACTACTTTCACATTCATTCTCCACTTTTTAACATTACAGAGTTGATATGGCCATAAAGAGTGCCTTTTCTATCTTGATTTCAGCACGAAGCATACTACATCAGACGACATTTGCTTCGAAACAACCAAACAAGGTATGTAAAAGATTCGTTTGGAAGAAAAGGGTGACATTACCAATTGACTCATAACACAGTTTACAAATGTGTGTTGTGGTTACTGTATTTCGTTCTCCAAAGTCCTCATTTGGATTAAGTGGCAGCCAACAAAATCATCCATATATTTTTCCTTACTCCACTTTCCCCTTCACAATATTTATCTCTTTGGATTTCAAAGAGCACTTCTTGCTTATGACCATGGTTTGGTTTATTTCCCTATGTCACCAACAGTTTGAGATTAACAAGCCATTCAGTTGAGGTCAGCAGTGTTCCTTAACTGATCACAACTGCAATAAGACGTTAACCTCTTCAAATGAATCGTTTTTAGGATGATGCGTCAGGACGAAGAGACAATGATAGATACAATGTCTGTAAGTTTACGTAAAATGTGGCTAAATGAAATTTAGGCAAATTTAAAATAGAAACAATGCTGGCCAGCGGTTTCTTAGTTGCCTGGCTTGGGGTGGCCCCAGACATTCAGCAGGGGCACCTCGTAATTCAATTAAATGCGGTTTGCTTGCTTGTCGTTCCCTTCCTCAAATTTTTCTGCCCGCTCCAACTCCCGATAGTTCCTCTCGATTATACTGGTGGTAAGTATTCCACCTAGTGATTCAGTGTGACGGTGCCTGGTGGTGGCCGCTGGTAGGATTGCCATTGACACCTCCTTTTCTTGTTACAGCTTTGCCTGGTTCCGGCTGCACCAATCCTTAAGGCACCAGCTCCCAAGCTCATCTGTGGTGATGAGTTTAATGGTCTGATAGTAGTGTTATATTACTTTAACGCGCAAATCCATTATCTGTAACACTTTAAGGTGTTCGACTTCAGCGAGTGCCCATCCCTCCACATCTGATCAGCTTTATATCTCATAACCACGAAGGGTTTACACAGTTCTAAAGAAATAGTATCCTTTTCTTTTTTTTTTCTTGTCAGAATGAAGCACACCTGATACGGCATCTTTTTTTACAAGCTGCACGGGCAAGGTAAACAAAAATCCCCTCGCTCACATAATCATGCACATTTTTTTCCAAAACCAAACCATGACCCATAGAAAGGTATGTTATTAACAACGCTAAGCTACAGTAGCTGCTACAGTAGAATATGGCCCGACAGAGTTAAGAGGCAGTACATTCCAGACTATTCCTGGTAGGCCTTTGTTTTGATAAGATCAAGAAGGAAAGGTACGTTGGGGTGGTTGTTGAGGAGGTCTTTGCTTTCAGCACTCGACACGAAATAAAGACAATTTTTTAACTTCGAGGTGCTCTTGGAGTAAAGGGGTCCTCCATATAGTCAAAAGATAGAATAAGACCACAATGAACTCGGTGATCAAAAAGTTGGATAATGTACCTTGCCCAGGAGATCACATGGGTAGGGTGGGTTTAGGTAGCTACAACAGTAGCCTTATGTTCTTTATGGCACTGTAATCAAAGAACAAAATCACATTTGATAATTTCATGACCATGGAACAGCAAGCAATAGCTCTAATAAATCACATTACTAGTGCCATAATTAATATCACTCAGGATGGATCTGTTTAGAATTAACTTCTCAGTAAAGGGCTTCATTTTCTTCTTTTTTTGGTTGTATGGTTCTAAAATCATCCATTTAAGAATTTCCTTTTTCGGTTACTTAGAACTAAACAGGGCAAGGTGTGGCATCCAAGGTTTAAAAAAAATAGATAATCCATATTGAACCTTATGAAAACGTCGTCATCATTTAAGAAGTCACAGCCTCAGTCAAAGGATAAAACTGCTTAGTGTTTCCAAGCTAGATTATCCTTCAAGCGAAAATTGACCAATGTTGTGTCTTTTCCAGGAACATCCAACACGAGGACGTTGTAGTAAGGACTATCACTGTAAGTACCGAGTGTGGTTAATTACTTCGCTTATAGAGCATGAGCCTTTGGCTTCCAACCTAATGCAACCCAAACATGTTACGATAAACAAAATACCCAGTTGGCAGGAAGCAGACCAGTTACATGTAGCTTTAAATTCATAAGGAAACAAATCTAACTAGGGCTCAGACTGGGACACGAATGGTCCAAAGTGCTTGATAACTAGCCAGGCTGATTCCACCACAGAGTGATAACATAATAATTGCCATTTGCAGTGTCCCTTATAGTCAAAATCTGAGAACTTTATCAACCATACTACAGCCTATACCTCAGTTTCCCCTTGTAAATTCGACATCTAATAATTCTGCTTTGATTGTAGGCTGAGGCAAATGCCATAAGACAATGGCTGTTGAGAAAGTAGAAGAAAAGGTAGGCACAGATGCTTTTCCATGTGACTAAATCCTATCTAGGCGGAGTCAATTTTTGCCAGCAGTTTCAGCAGGGGTTGGCTCCTATGATCTGGGGACAAAGACTTTGCAGGTTTCTCATTTCTCACATTCACTGTGTCCTTGCGTAGATTTCTCCTGCCCCCTTACAGTCAAGAGCATGTTAATCACGACACCACCGAATTCCTATCATTCATTTAAAAGGTGCAAGTGACGTTTACAGGAATGACGGGTTATCTCGAGCTTAGACCTAACTCCATCATTTCTCAGGACACTTCTCCTAGTCTCATCTATTATTGATGCAATTAATTGAGAGTAATAATAATAATAATAATAATATAATAACAATAATATAATAGTAATTAAATAATCGTTATTAATCGATCACTGTTTATCAGAAGAAGATGCTTGACCACAATTATAATAAACACTATAACTTTCTCCTCCAACTTATACTTACTGTCATAGGTTAACTTTCTTGTGCGATGTGAGGCAACAATTGTCTTTTTCACTACAGGGTGGGGGGCTCAAGGTTGTCGAGAACCTTTTGCTAGCCTGTGGCAGATATTGAAAGTTTTGTCTGGTTGTCTACTTGTTAGATCCATATTAACAACTGGCCTTGTAATGTCCAACAATGCCAATAACAGTGTGACTGCACTCCATTCATTCCCAAACTAGAAAGCTCATGTCCCAAACAACTCGTCCATCACAAGGCAAAAACATTGATTGATCCTCACGAAAATGCACACTAAAATCGGCAATCTGTTGACATCTTCTTGCTCTTTATACAGTTTATCGTACTTTGTTATTGGGATAGGCGAAGCAGGACTGCAAATAAAATATCTCGTTAGTACTGCCATATGCATACACCCTCAAACTTAACGGGCAATCATATCCAAAAGGGTTTAACACCTTTTCGTCCACGAATGATGAGAATAGTACTATGGTTTACAAAATTTAGTTACTATTATTATTACTCTGAGAAAATTTCTGGCACTGAATTTAAGATATAGCTATGTACATAGAAATATAATTCTACCAGATGTTTATGTACAATCAAAATGCACCCTCGAAGGATGGTCGTATTTACAGAAAGCTTGCGATCTTATTAATTTACCATTACATTCATGTTAAAACATTAAATATTTTTGTCTTAATTAATTATCAAATTCATAGTTAACAAAACCATGCGTTAGCGCTTTTTTATATATTACTCTAAACTTTACTTTGGAGCACTTAAAAACCAAAGGAAACGACCAGCCGGTGATTCTAAAAGTTGTCGCGGTCGCTTTCAGGTCTTCTCAGTACAGAGCTCAAGCCACCATCCAAATGAGGTTTTACGATGCTAGTCGTAACTAGAGCTGGTCCCTTACAAGCGTGGTCTCAAAGAGAGCTTGCGACTGTAGTTGCTTTCCATTTATGCCTAACTATTCCTGGTTACTGATGTAAAAATGTGTTTTATCTTTCTCGGACAGACCGCAACGAGCCTTTTCTCAGAAGGTCAGGAGAAATCATACAGAAACAAGAGAACAAATGGAGGGATGTACTCTCATCCCAACCATTACTTAGTACCTATCATCAGTAAAGTACGTTCGGAAGACTGCAACTCAATGTACACTTTTGCTATTTATAAAGAAGGAGACATGGACCACATGAGGCTTATACATGCTGATAAATATTGTCGAAAGGAAAAATATCAGACTGAAAAGAGAGAGAGACATATTAAAGAAGAAGAAAAAAAAACGTCTGTTAATTGGTTTGGTAATTTTCAGAACTGGGTGACGAAAATCTGCAGACCCTTGGTGAAATTTTACCCCCATGGGGGATAAGGTTTCAAATGCGAATTCTGGATTCTAGAGGGACAAATGAGCAGATATATACAGTCTGTCGTTTGCTGATTACTTGCGTAGCAATTGCTCGTGAAGGAGGGGAGGGCTGGGGGAAAGTAGAGTTCGTGTTGAAGATATACGTCTTATTAGCCGAAGTTTCAGCCCGTACTGTAGATTACGGACCCAGTTTTTGCCATCAATTTATGGCCCGCGCGAGTAATCGATGGAAAAAAAAAACAAGGATGCGTGATTTACAGTACGGTCCGAAAAAAACTACGCTAATAAGATGTTTATTATATGGCTTCCTGTTTGAGGAACCGGAAACATGTACAGGACAAACAATTTGACAGTAATTTGACAGGCGACAGTAATTGACAGTTTTAAATAGCTGACGGAAACAATAGTACATTCCAATGGCTTTCCATTTGAACATAAAATTAAATGCAAATCATGCCCCACGCTGTTTTCGGTCAAAACTAAGAGCACTGTAAGTATTCGTTCGCAAATGTGACACTAGGGTCTTTTGAAAACTGGACATTTGTATCTGGCTCGAAATCGCTTCCATCTTTCTTTCGTTGGTGTTTTCAAAAAAAATACTGCCAATGGCAAATGTAGAAGCTTGTCAAGATGATCAGGTGCAGGTATGTTTGTTATCATATTGGTCGAAGGAATTGCTCGTTTTCTCTTAGGCAAAACGTCTCGAATCTCTGCCAGTCGATTTTGGTTTCCTTAACTGTGTACTGCTATAAAATTTTCAAACACTGACTAGAATCTTCTTCTACGATAAGATTACGATTCAGTTTCTTCACTGCCCTCGTTTACAAACAGGTAAACACAGGTTAAAATGTTGAAGTAAGGAGTCAACATCCAAGTCCTCAAGGTTGACAGACGTCTTATAACTTTCTTGAAACCTTGTTTTTTGAAATAAAGAGATTTAGAGCTGCGTTTTGGTCCCTATAGCAAGTTACGGACTGCAAACTGACCATTGGCACAATTGGTACATTGTTGAAGTCAAACGTAGCCGACTCTATGCAATGTTACACCATTTATGTATTAAGTTTGTTCATAGTCATTTACATGTCATAGTTGTGTACGTGTATACATGGCAAAACAAGACTTAGCCATATATGTAGGTAAAAGGGCCTTCCAATGCTCCGCCCATTAAGTTTCTCGAACTTCAAACACCTTTAGACATAAAAAATGCCAAAGGCTTCCACGATCAATGATCACAAGAGTCGACGGAGTTTCTTGATTTTCCTGATCTTTTCTGTCTTGAATTAAGGTAATATCGGAACCTAAAGCATCAACCAGAAATTATAATTCGACAGTACGGTTGTTCTATGTAACTTTTCACCAGAAAATGGAAACAAGCGTACCTTTGGCCAGTGGCCAAACGAACACAGGCTCATAGGGAGACTGACAGATTTGATTGACAAGTCAGTCATCCGTTTAAACTGATGGAAATGTAAATGAACGCGTAGCTCTACACACACACCTAGTCAGCAACTCCGCCGCGTCCATCGGCACCTACGCATGTAGTTCGAATAGCCTCTTGTCCATTATTTTCGATTATGCTCTTTTCGAAAATAAGAGATTTAAAGCTGCCTTTCGGTCCTTATAGCAAGTTACGGACCGCAAATTGACCAATCGCATGGCGAAAAAAGAGTTAGCCATATAATAATTTTCCCAAGTCACCCCGTGTAAGCATTTCAGGGCTTATCGTCAACATGGATTTTCAACTCTTGATGGAAAGGGAAGGAAGGTGTAAGTGCATGCAATATTATCATTAATCACCTGAAACGACATCATCCCCTTGAGTTACCCTTACCCTCGAGTGTCGACCAAGGATAGAAACTTTGGCCCAAATTTTTTACTTATATATCTCGGCATTTCTGTCACCTGTTGTTACGAAACAAAGGCCATTTGCAGAATGAACTAGTTTTGACTTTTCTAGGTACAACGCCACTCTGACCTGACCATTTTAATCCATGTAAGTGGCTCTAAGCAACCTACATATCCTTATGCTCGAAGATAGCTCAGTGTAGAAACGAGGAAACAAAGAACTTCAAACGCATCAAATAAGAGATGAATAAAGCCATATGATGACCATGATACAAAGAGATTGCTCTTGCCACATGTTGCGAATGTTTCCGTGAAAATTACAGAGATCTACATTGATCTTAGTTAACCATGCTGAGGATCAGAGCTTTCCTTAGTTCACAACAAGGAAACGCGAGAAAAGGAAACCGCAAGTGCAGCAAGTTCGCGGGAAAATATTTGCACAGGCTTATTAACAATAAAAAAGAAATGTCATCGAACGGTCCACATGGTTCGTCATGCAGATCCAAAGCAAATCAAAGCCACACAAAAGAAGGGAAGGGTCGAAAGCACTAAGTTCGACTTGACAGTTAAAACAAAGAATTAGCTAATGTTACTTCGAGCACTGAATAATTCATTCATTTTCTAAGAAACCTCTTGATGAATGATTGACACAAAAGTACCGATCTGAAGATAAAGGGCTTCTTGATTTCACGAGAGTAATGAAAAAGAAAAAAGCGGTGGTATATATCATATCATTCCTTGACTTATGAACAATTACTTGGCAATGGTTTAAAATCACACATCAACGGAGTTAAGTCCAAGAAACCAAAAAGTTATTACAATAGACATCGGTTAAAACAGTTTAGCCGTAATACCAGCAAGTATGTTTTCCACACTGTTCTCAATACATATCTTCTGACCTATTGAATCTGTTTACAAATTAAGACACTCCATCTTTGTTCGTTTCCTTTACCCTTAGCACCGCCGAGTCAATATCTTTACGAGAATTACATGCTAGTAGGTTGGCTGTACGAAATAAAATTCTCGGCGACCTTTTGAAGTCACATTTTTCAGCCGCTCGAGTTCCGATGTCCCGCCCCTCTATATCCTTGAATTAAATTTGATAAAAATTTTAAAACAGCATAATATCATTTCATTGTTAATAGCTTGAATGATCACAGGATGCTCTTCGCTAGGATTGGCTAATTCGCTTTGCACTCCCTGATGCTTTCCTGTCTTTTGCTAAGCCACTATTTATCCATTGGTTTGACCTCATATATAAATGCAACGACTATTTTAAGCTTAGTGCTACGGAACAAAGTCCATTTCAGACATTTCAAGGTACATTGTTGCCTGAATATTTAAGTCAAACGCAGCGGCCGACTGTATGCAATTTACACCATCTATGTATTAAGTGTGTTCATAGACAAGCTAAATCCAAGTCATTCCATAGAGTTGACGGGGACATACGTTCGTTAAACCATTTAAAAGTTATTCAGGGAATTAGTCGACTGTGTACATGTATGTTATGTAGGTACAAGGGTCTTCCAATGCTCCGCCCATTAACTTTCTAGAATTTCAAACACCATTAGACATAAAAATGCCAAAGGCTTCCACGGTCAATGATCACAAGAATCGACGGAGTCTCTTGATTTTCCTGATCTTTTCTGTCTTGAATTAAGGTAATATCGGAACCTAAAGCGTCAACCAGAAATTATAATTCGACAGTACGGTTGTTCTATGTAACTTTTCACCAGAAAATGGAAACAAGCATACCTTTGGCCAGTGGCCAAACGAACACAGGCTCATAGGGAGACTGACAGATTTGATTGACAAGTCAGTCATGCGTTTAAACTGATTGAAATGTGAATGAACGCGTAGCTTTACACACACACCTAGTCAGCAACTCCGCCGCGTCCATCGGCACCTACGCATGTAGTTCGAATACCCTCTTGTCCATTATTTTCGATTATGCTCTTTGGTAAGAGAGAGAGAGAGAGAGGGAGATGGAGAGAGAGAGATTTCCACGACAACTATGCCACGAAACAAAAGAGGAAAGGCGGGAAGCAGCCGTCTGGGATAACCGTCATTGCTATCATGTGGGGTACGGTTTCTGCTTGACAACGACTTGGCGGACCAACACATGGGTTTTAAGACTTATGTCTTAAAATCGGCCGGACTCCCTGCAATAAGAAATGAGTGGCAACGAAGACGGGTCTTAGATGAGAGGCGTATTTGTGACTTTGTCGCAATGATCTCGGCGACTGGTCAGATAAACGGTAGGATAATTTCAAAGATCATGATCTTCCTACGGAATGTCAACGCGTTCAGGACCGAACGGGGGCCCCCGTTCGGTTATCCGGGATGGTGGTGGGAAAGTCCCTATCCCCTCCATAAAACCAAATTAATAAAACATTGTGGGTACAAAGTGGAAATCAAAACAACAAGGACCATCAACAAAAACATCTGTAAGAACGACAAACAGCGGTTTTGTTTAAAAGCAAGTTACCCACTTCGTCTCTATTTCTTAACGTGCAGCAGGATAAGCGTCTGGAACTTGAAATTCACCTAAGTTCAATTCACGCTTTTCTGATAGAAGCGCAACAACCTTTGGACCCACACTGATGGTAGGCAAGACAGAATATCTAGCATAAAATTAACGTCTCTTTAACCACTTAAGAACTGAGAAACAACTGTTAACGTTATAATGGAGGTTAACGCAAATCAGGTGAGCATATAGGCGATAAGAAGGGGTAATATGGGAAGGCGACAGCAACAGGTTAAAGTTAATTCAAATAGGATAAATGACAAAATTTGCTTTGCGTCATGAAACTTTCCAAATCGTAAAGTGAACTCAAGCAAGAAGAGGTGATTTTGAAATATTCACACACTCTGCACACGTTTTTCAGCAAACTAAACTGAAAGCAGCTCTTGTTTTCGTAATAAATATGCTATCCCTTTTTTTCAGGTAATTTATCTGCGCTTGATCCGTCGCCTTAGACGGTTACTTGCCGAGATACTACTACATATAGGACAACAAAGCAATCCGAATTTTCCTGAATTTCACATTGTTTTGATTCTAAGACCAAACCAGAGGTAAGAGATATTTCAACTCATTCGTTAGGATGGATACAAGAAAAATATCTTTTAAAAAAATCTGCGATAATAACCTTCCGTTTTTAAATTCACTGATCAGGGTCCTTGGATTAGTGATTTCAACTACAAAACTGCTGACGAAAAACTCCTTTACCTCAACTATTTGAAATACATCTAAACAAACATCTAGAAAAACTTTTACAGTAACACGGCTACAATTAAATTAAAAATCAAAATATAAAGCAGTTAACACCAATCCAGAATAAATGAGCACTGACAAGACTGTATGGCTTTATGAATAGCTGCACAAAAGGTGAGGTCATCTCAGCGTAACAGAGGCAGGTGTCTGTGTTATAGGAATGTTGGTCCTATCATAGTACAAAATACGAAAATACATATACACTGTATACAGCTCTAAAAACAAAAGAACTGTTTTTAATAAACAGAGGGGTTTATTATGAACGTACTCATGATAAGTAGAAGCACTTGGGTTTTTAAAACGAACGTGGGTTTCGAACACAAAGGGAATTGAAAACCGTCATGAACGGGATATGGTTGAAAGGTGAAGGAGTAATTAAGTATTATCGCCTTAATTTTTTGATGCTTTGCAACTGATATTTCATTAATTAAAGCTTGTTTGAACTAGCTGATGTTTCTATGGTAGGTAGTACAGTCAACTCCCTTCACTGCGGACACTGCAGGGACCTTAAATTATTTTCTTTATTAGCGAGAGTCCGTTTTAGCGGGAGTGTATTTCAGTCAAATGTCTGTAATTTATATTACCTGGGATTTAGCTGCTGTTCGTATTATAGCGGGTTGTCCGCAAGGCGAGAGTTGATAGTATTACGTCTGCATTTGAAGACATTTGAAAAAATCCTCAACATTCACTCCTTGAAGTTTTCTTTCACAGAAACTCAGATGAATGGCTAGGGCAAGACTATGTAAGTACTTTGTGTGTAATGTCGTTTTAGTTGTAACATTATACTGTCATGATTATAAATGCTGTTAGCTTCCAAAATTTGCTCGTATTCTTATTAACACGTCATGACAAGGCCAAGTCTGTCAGAAAACGTCGATAATCCTTTCTTAACGTTGTTCCCCAATAAGGCAAAACTTCAAATTAAACCCATTCATGGATGCTGTGATCCCCGGCACTGAAATGAAACCGCTTCAGTAGCGTTTTCACATGGTGCTCCTTCACATGACCTGAATAAAATGGTTCTTAGTTTCCCTATAGTGTGACCAAATTTCTTCATCAACACTTTCACATGGTGCTTTTAATGTTCCGACATAAACTGGATTTTACGTTGTGCGTCTGCGAATGAAATCCTATCGAGTGTGTCACCATTTTTCACCACTGTTTCAAAGAAATTCTTCAACATTCAAATGAAATTTTTACATGCGACTTATTATTATGCTACGTGACGTTTGAGTCTGTGGATGAGATTCTGTAGTGAAGCTTCTTTAGCAGTAGTTTTACACGGTGTGGTGCTGTTTATTCTTTCTAATTTTGAGTTCTATTAACTTTTGAGTCTGTGGATGAAATTTCGTGGTTTGACCAATCGAGTGAACCTGCACCGCAGTTTCTCAATATTTCATGCAGTTTGAAAAGCAATAATATACAGTTCAAACCGTTTGGTACAAATAAGATAGGACAAACAAATCATTTGCAACTGAAAGTGAGAAAGCCAAGCCCCTTATTCAATTGGACTAGGGCGCTCGCTATAAAACTGTCCAACTACGTACTGCACTGCAGAAACAGCTTTACAGGTCCTACTTCCATGACTATGTGACTCCTTCACCCACTAATTGAAAATTGTTATACACCTTAAAAAGTTATAGTAGGATATAATTTCGCTAAATTAGTCTTTCTTGCATGATTTGAGCCCTAGACGCAAGACTTTAATTTAGTTTAATCAATCTACATGTAAGGGACCACAAGTTACACATGGTCCTTTGGTCTAAAGCAAGAAATTTTGTTTTCTTTGCAGATAACAGAGGAATTGTAACAACAGAAGTAATCAATTATACAATCATCCTGATGCGCCGCATCAAACAGTAATGATTCGAGATTAAACAAAAAGTAATGATAATATATTTAATGTGAATACATGACGGGGAGATGTTATGTTAATGCCTGTGGACTATTTATCATGGTTCTCCGTTACACGTTCATGACTTTTTTAAATCTATTTTTGTAGATTTAAATCGTGCATTACATTATTCAGGGAAAGAGAACCATCTTCTGTTTTGCTGAGTGGATAATGCTAACTCTAGTCTGCACGTCAGAGAATTTAAATAAACTTTGTTGTAAATATACCTTTTCCTACGGACAACAAAACAGTTTCCATGGTTTTTTTTAACTTAATCTATTTTTGTAGACTTATATCTTAATTTACTTTATTCGAGGGCACAAAACCATCTTCTGTTTGGCTAAGGGGTTAATGCTAACTTTAGTCTGCACGTTAGCTTTCTGATTGTTAACCAGAATTTTAATAAACATTGTTGTAAATATATCTTTCCTACTGACAGCAACACAGTTTTAATGTTTTCTTGTTTTTAATTATCTTTTGTTGACTTAAATCGTACATTACTTTATTCGAGGACACAAAACCATCTTTTGTTTGCCTGAATGGTTAGTGTTAACACTGTTCATGAGCACGTTAGCTTTGTAATTGGTAACTAGAATATTAATAGACCTTGTTGTAAATATACCTTTTCCTACTGACAGCAAAACAGTTTCCATTATTTTTTTAAAATTTATTTTTGTAGACTTTAATCGTTCATTACTTTATTCAAGGGCCCCCAACCATCTTGTGTTTGGCTAAGTCGTTAATGTTAACTTTCATCTGCACGTTAGATTCGTGATTGGTAACCAAAATTTTAAGAAACTTTGTTGTAAATATATTGTTTCCTGCTGATAGCAAAACAGTTTTCGTACTTTTTAAAATTCAATGGATACAATTTTTTTAAGTAAATGAGTTTGAAGACAACTTTCATAATTACTGCGCTAAATAAGTATCTGTTTATGTTCTGCATAATAACCTTTGGACTTCCTGGCGTTGCATTTATAGACGGATTCATCGTGACGTCATTGTTTACATTTTTGCTCATTACCATACGAGTTAAACCATAGATGATGTAGCCGTATATACCAATTAGGTTCAAAAACTAAAAGAGCTAGTTAATTTATGCAGTTTGTGCAATTTTCAGCTCTTTGGAATCAGTTACAAAGAAATAGCAGCAATTAAAAAAAGCAACATTACTGTGTGACAAAACGTTCATGAGCTCGTACATTCTTTGCAAATTTTGGGGCTTTTCAAAGAGAATTCCTCCGAAACTCTGAGCTCAAATTTTCAGAGATAACTGAAATTGTTATGCTATTTCAATATTCAGAAATTTCATTCTATTAGCTTCATCTGATGATAAGTCTATGATAATGAGGTAAAAAATGTAAACAAGGATTCGCCTATAAAACAACGTTCTCTGAAATCCACCCAACTACTTGTCAATTTAAAAACGACACGAAGAGTAGTTTTTAAGACAAGAAAACTTCAAAGTCCTTAAACGGTACCTTTTGGCATAATTTCTGTTGTAAAAACATTGCACAGGACAAATAAAAGTTACATTTTGTACATTTGTGATCACAATGGCGTCAGTGAATGACCCTAATCCGAGCAAATAACAGTAGTAAATTAATTCAACTATTATTGCGTTCGACGAAGGAAGAACGCTTCCTAATCTCCTGGGTTGCCTGTTATCGCGTAGGTTCCCTGTGCACGCAAGCGAAAGCTGACCCGTGTTTTTTCGTTCCATGGTTCACCTTTTCGGCGCCATTTTGAATGACGTCACAATTTCGTTGCGCAAAGCATTCTGCCTCGTGGTTCAAGCTTTATTTACGTCATAAGCAATTGTCATATGGCAATCACGTGCATCACTGGTTCCATCAAGGTCAACTACATTACACGGGAATATTTGAGTTCGGCAAAAGAATGAACGTTGGAGTTGTTTTCTAAGCGGGTTTTATCACTGAGCTGATGATTCTGCTAAACTTTTCGGTCAATGCCGTTCAAATCGAGCTGGAACTTCGTAGAAACACACAAATAAAGACCAGGTAACATTTGTGCCGTGAGAAGTTTACCCGTGCGTTTGAGTCTATTTACTTATTTGTAGTTTAACCTCTTTCATGCACGAAAAAGTAAGCTTGAGCGTATCAGTGCAGGTTGTTACAACTGTAATGCTTTATTCACGTCTGATATCTCTACGCGGATAATTTTGCATGATAAGTATCTCGCTCGCTGAAGCAAGCTAAGTTTAAAACATGTTGAACTGACCTACATGAACTTAAAATAATCATGAGATGAAAAGTTTGCACAATGGCAAAAGATTCTGTCCGGTTCTCTGACATCAGTAATCTAGCAGAAACCTAATATGTTTCCGTCGCTCCTATGATCATTGTTTTCACTTCAAGTTGTGTCACGCAAGAAGCCAAGACTTTTAACCTTCAAGGCTACCATTTTTTCGAAGTTTGTAGTGACATGTTTATCTTTTTAACAACAAAGAACTTTTTACGATCTACTTTACATTTTTATCGACCATGCTTGAGGGAGAGTAAGACATTTTAAGAGTAGAGAGTTAATGAGTGAGATATTTTGAAGCCGTATACGCGAAGAACATTTTTTACGAAAAGAATGTCTACCTTTTAATTCATGATCTCTTCCATGATTTTGAAATCATGCTTGACGACACAAAAGCTAATCTGGAGCTAAGAAAACTCGAACGCACTTATTGATCTATGATTACTACTAGTATATCATTTATGGGCAGCCTTACTGTCCGATCCAAAACCAATTTAAAGGAAACTGAACTCACTTATTGGCAAGTGGGGAAATGTCGTATATCATCCAGGAACATCACAACAACGAAAACAACCTCTAGCCAGGATACACAGCAGCTCTCCTGATTTTGGCTCCAAGTGACTATTCTGTGTTTTCCCTTTTTTGTTCAGGCCCCTTTGACCTTTTCAGATGTGACTAGAACGGATACCCGTCCGAAAATATTTCACATCTTCACCTGAAATACATGAAAAACAAGTCCTAAAACTTGAAGTAAGTGGTAAATAAAACTGGAGGAAGAAAACAAAAGAAAAAAAAAGCTATGCAAGGCTTGAACCAGCATATTATTATCAACATCGGGCAGGTATCTACAACAGTGCAGAGGGCTACAGGTTATTCTTAACGTACCGAACATGACACTGCACATTACATGATTTGAAGTTGGTGGATGGGGAAATAGGTGCTTTTTATTTCGTTTTATTGAAAATTAGGGTATAAGAGGGGTGATAAATTCCTGGTCCCAATCACATTTATCAAACCGCACGCAGACAATTGAGATGGATAATCATTTATCTGATAAGGAGGTAACCCTATGTGGGTTCCTCAAGGTTCTGTTCATGTTCCCCTTTAGTTCGTATTATCCACTTTAAATCTTCCAAGGAATTATCATTTCATTTGTTTACCTACCACACCACTCTTACTTGTGCTCCAAAAACCCGCGTGTACTTTAATCCACTGTTAAATCTAGAATTTGCTAAAGTTAGTGAATGGCTGAAAGCCGATAAGCTGACTCTTAATATTAAAAAGTCAAATTTTGTTGCAACTAACACCCAGGCATGTCTTGAGCTGAAAAATCTCGTAAAATACATTGGAATATTGATTAATTCTGACCTCTCATGGAAACATCATACTGATTACATATGCCATTAAGTCTACAGGGTGTCTAAAAAGTTCGTTCCTCAACTGCTCCCTATAGGAACTATGGTATTTGCGCTTGGGGCAGCTGTGCACAAGTATATCAAAAGAGAATATTGGTACTGCGAAAACATGCCTTTCGTTTTATTTTTGGTAATGCTCCAGAATATACATTTCCCTTTTTTGTTCAAGCAAAATGTCTTTTGACACATTAAGCCAGGTAACTCAGAGGTCATGTTCTGAGACAAGTTGTAGATTAGCTTTGTGCCGGAAGGTTTGGTTGTCACATAAAGCCATTGTCTAATATCTCACACATGTGCGAATTCTACTACCTTTTGCACTCTGATAATCGCTTGATGGCCCCCAAAATTTCAGTTCGGTAATACTGGCTATTAGGTCGGTGAAATTTTATTGCCACTTCATCACAACTACGAGCTACACTAAAGGTCATGTTACACAGGACAATTTAGAACGACGATTTTTAGCGCAACACAGCGACATTGTTTCGACATCGTTTCGAAAGGCTGCAACATTGTTCCAACATTTCAACCCTGTGTTGCGCTAAAAGTTGTCGTTGCGAATCGTCTCGTGTAACATCACCTTAATATCCTAACTTATCAGTTTGTAATGAACCGGAAACCCGATCTATGGACACCCGCTTAATACAGAGGTTAGTATATAAAGGGTAGTCAAAAACGGTCAACGCACGCTTTTCTGTGCCCCAAGTCACGCACTCATCCATCGTCGACCCCGCTTTCGAGACACTGGTTTGCGTCCAGTCTATTTTCCTTGTCACAATCGTGTGCTAGTTGTATGCATTGTTCCCAGTTCAAATACTGCAGATCTCTTTGGGTGAAAACCGCTTTTTTGCGTTTTTTTTTCTTTTCCGCCGACACGGCATCAGTTTCTTCCTTTTGAAACTAAGCTGCATTAACATTTTCATGGCCAACGCGACGCCAAATAGGACCGCGCCCGGATGTTGGTTTCTAGCTATTGACCTTGAAACGCTTTTACGCGTCTCCACGCTGGCAGAAACATACACTGTTTGGATTAAAGGTGGCATAAACTGGAAGATGATTGTAAAAAAAGCCAGTCAATGGGAGGGCTTCATAATGAAAACCGGACAATTAGGTACACACAAAATACATAACGGTGTATTACGCACCACTGATTGTAAGATTCTAAGCAGTAATACACGGCAAATTAATGACAACAATGATATACACGATATAAGCTTCGCGTGCCACTTTAAGCATTGACGATTAGTAAATTTCATGAATCAGTGAGTTTGAAAATATAAACAGTAGTGGACCAGGTGTTATTCCATGAGGTGTACTTAAGCCTTCACGTGTGGGGTTAAAAGGTACCATGTAGACACAAAAGAAATTAAATAGTGCTAAGATAAGGTTTACCTTAAAAGTGTAACACGCTGAAACCATTATTGGGGTCGTTTTGTTGTACATAACAGTACGTCACTGTTTACACAATTTTTGCATTTTCTTCTACAGAACAGTCCAATAACAACAGATGTATGTCTTGAATTGCAAACTTGAACGTACATAAAGCTACACAAGCATATCTTAAACGTAAATCTGAAATCCTGGAACCTACTGCCAAAAACAAACGAGACAAAAAGTAATCTGAGTCAAGTCAACTATCTTTTAGTACATACCAGCCTAAATATCCCAAATGAGTGATTCTTACAATTTCCTTATTCTAAAGCAAAATATTGTACGTAACACAATCCGTGAAAAGTGGCAGTGCTGTTTGTAAGTCTTTCTTTACCTATCTTTGCTTTACTAAACGTAAGGTGTGAACCAGTTCGACAACAAAGTCAAGATGGAGTCTTAAAGAGTGAGGGTACAATAATTACTGACCATTTTTTATCTACCACAACACGTTTCTTTCTTTCTTTCGGTACTGGAAAATATATCTACGAATACAGAATTAACACATCTACCCTTAATAATTATTGTAAGACACTGAAGCGAAGCTTTACTAAAGACCCCGTCTAAACAACGGCAACTTTTGTTTTGTCCCAACTGAAATATTCATCCTTGTGCTTAAGCTATTAACAGCCGCCACCCCCTAACAATGGCCTCTTTTTTGGTCCCCAAGGTGGCCTTTGTCGAGACGTCCAACTCAAACTATCCCACAGCCGATTCTAACACACAAAAAGTCGCCCTTCTTACGTAAACTCCTGCATAACATATAAAATAACCGTAAGGGTTTACTCACAATTGAGACTTGGTCTTGAAATAACCAGCCGAACATGGATCTCTTTTTCTCGTCCTCGTAATTTTAACCCAGCAAACCACGTTTCGGTTGTATTATGTGCGGTTAGAAACGCATGAAGTAAAGGTGTTAAAGACTAACACAAAGAGACAAAAATTCTTAAATATAATGATCGAGACCAGGTTTTATGAGCCCGCGAGACTGAGCACTCCAAAGATGTATGTATGTAACCGCTGGTCCGGCACAGAAAAATCCCTTCTATAAATAACAGAACTGCATTGTATAAAAAGACTCAAGTCCATCTCAGCACTTGCATGAAGGAAAGACTTATGAAATCGTCAGTTGCATGTAATTTAGGTGTGAAAATTAAAACGGAATTCCTAAATTAACGCTTATTTTAAATTATCTTTGTGACGCCCCACTCTGATCTCTTAAGTCTTTCACTAAAATTTCCTTTATGAACGTACCGGAGTCTCTACTGATTATGTACCAAGCGAGCGAGCAGTCTCTTATTTTCCTTCAAAAGCTTCGCGGCTCGCTTCGCGTACGCCGCTAAGAAAGTACCCCAGGCACAACAATCCTCACTGCCCGCTACGCAGGCTACTTCACCCAGTGCTTCACCATAAGCGCGAGAGAGAAAAGTCATCTTGCGGCCCCAGTTGCATACGTGGCCATTTTCATCTCTCGCACGTTTTCTGTGACGGATTAGAATAAAGAAAAGCTGCTCGTAGTCTACCTGTTATGCTGTATCAGAACATCAAAGCAAAAGATCAACTGTTGTGAAGAGGCACTCTTAAAAACGCGATAATCGACAGCTGCAATGTGTTACAAGTAACAATTCGTTTTATTTTCGACTTCTGACATAAGAACTTTCAAACGTGTATATCTTCACAGTACTGCGGTTTACTTCGACGTATCTTATATCTGCGGACTAAATTCCGACACGCAGGCTTTCTGTAACTACTTTGATAGAGGAAATTAAAAAAGCTCTAAGCTGGCAGGCACATCACGAGGAATTCTTTTCACCTTCTTGCTTTCGTTTTTGACAACAAAAGTTTTCTCTTTTTCGGTCGAGGTCTGAACTGTAACATAAGACCAGGACCGGAGGTTTCTTTGTCCACGAAGACTATCTTACTGCACGCGATAGTAAAGTGAACCATTGGTGTATTAAATGGTAAAAAACCTATCGTTTCGTTCTAAAAATTGTCAGCCAATTCTTTTTTTACTATAAAAGCCAACCCAATTACATTATTTCTTTATTTTTAAGAGGAAGGTAAGACAGGAGGGCGAAAGCGAGAGGGAAAGAAAAAAAATTCGGCCTGTATGTTTGGTTTTGTAGCTGAACAGCTAAACTCACACCAAGTGATGTGCCTTTTATAAATTCATACATGCAATTTATGTATACATACATTTACGCATTTTGATACAACAGCATTGAAAAGGCAAATTTTTCTGGGGTAACACCACATGGTCTGAAGAGGGAAAACAAAACATACAAGCCAAAAAGGTCTATCTTCATCCTATCCCTTCAGGGAAGACGAATACCTGGTCGACGTTTACCCGAACAAGGCCGACAAACACTGCCAGCCAAAAGCAGCAAATAGCTGAGCATCAGACATGGAAGTGGAAGGCTGGGGTTCGATTCCCCACTAAATCATCAATACGGAATATAAAACTGACGAGAAATAGCTTCGCTTCCTCTTTTATCACATCTGCAGACATCCTTGTCTTCGCGGTTGCCGTTTACCGTTAGAAAAAACGTAGGCCCAGTCTCAAAGCACTTTCACGGATCTGACTCCTGTGAATGCGTTTGATTCGTTTGAGTGAAAGGACAGTCAATTCCAAATGCAACCAATTTTTTTAAGACAGTGTCAAAAAAAATTATTGTAAACAAACGAGAAATTCAATTTATCATTTTACTCTCCTTCTACTCCTCTACGATAGCGCGTCACTGAATGATAAAGGCAAGGTACAAATCATACACAACCGGAAGTCAACCTGCTGACCTAAAATTAGCATAACAAAAGAGATGCACGTGTCATGCGGGACACGCCCAAATGAGTTTCTTTATTTTGTCAACGTTTCATTTGGCCGAGTCGGGAGCAATAAGAATTCACTGTAAGCTTCTTGCTAACTATGCCATGCAAACATTAGTTAAATTCAGTTATTGTATTAGTAACAACTTAAAACAGTGAAAATTATTAAATGATGAGCCGTGAGCAATTAGCAAATACGACTAGACAAAATGAAACAATGGGAAAACACACTGTAATGAAAATAGATTTGAAAACTGTCCAGCTTACTAGTTTTTCAAAGTTTACATCTTACACACGGGAGACCGCGTTTCTCCTGAAATTATGATTGGTTAAGAAAAAGATTTAAAAGCTAGACTTAACTTCCAACTGAGATGGGTCTGACGAATACCGCCTTCTTGCATGTCTCTTAACGTTTGCGAAGTCGTTCGCGTCGCTTGCTGGTTTGTTTACGCGACAGAAAAGCGACGCCAACGACTTCGTAAACACTAAAAGCCATGTAAAAGAGAAACCTCTCCATGCATGGTATCTGCCGAAAGGCTAGCAGCAACGATTTCTGACCTGAGATTTAATCTATTTTAATTTGTTAAGTCACCAGCATATCGCTTTTCATTATTTCTGTATTGCTTGTAGCTACTATTTAACAATTTTCTATAGAATATTACTTTTCTGGCATTTGTGATATAACAATAATAATCATTTCAATTTTGATAAACTTGGGGATTTTCCTTTTAAAAGCAAACGTTTAACTGACATTTAAATGTGCAAATCGAGAACAGTCTGGAAAATGTACAAGCTGATAGTTATTGGGTTATTAGGGGTTAAGATGAACATACTGTAACTACGAGAAGAGAATTTGTAACTTTGCTAGAAATGGACGAGCATGCTATCTGGGAAAAACGGTATGTACATGCAATTATCTTTGGAGCTTGATTTCGTCAAATTTTAAAACAGGTATCACCTGCAACTGACACAGAACTGGCAACAAATAAATAGACAGCTGTCAGGGGCACCCAACGAGAATATAGTTCAAAACCACATAAACATAGCATTGTTGAACGTACTTTAGTATTTAAACGTTAGATAAAGGCTTATTTTTATCCCCTAAAAATTTTTCATCTGTTCGGATTTCCTAGCTGAAAGTATAGTGATCCGAAAATTATAGGGATCAAAATATACCTTTTCGAAAATTTCAGCTAGAAAAAAGGCTCCCGAAAATTCTAGGTGACCTTTTTAGGGTAAAAATCCGTTAAAAATGGGCAATTATACGATTGTTTTGAAGTTCGAAAATCCTAGGAGAGGCAGGCAAGCAAGAAATTTTTCAGAAAATGATCCGAAAATTCTAGACCTCAAATCGTCTTCCGAACAGATAATTTTCCGAAAATTGTCGTTGGGTGCCCCTGAGCTGTGGGCTGTAGGACAGTCTAGTATTGTAGTTCAAAGTTTCTCAATAAAAACTCATTCGAAGTTGAAGTTAATTCAAAGATAAAAAACGACTGACTGTTGACAGCTTTGGTGAAGAGACAAAAATTAACCGGTTGACATTGCCCATGTTTAGTTAGAATATTACTTTGGTGCTACTTCATACAGAGCTGTTACCGGCCCTGGAAGAAATAGGATAAACTTTACAGTTGGAATGCAGAAAGAGTTCACAGCTTTTATACACTAAACTACTCCAGCCCTCTTATCTTTAAAGCGGGCATCTGGAAAGCAAGTACATGAGTTTGCACATAGTGAAATTATACAAAAGTTCACTACAGTCGATGCAACTAGAAGAATTCACTAGTTCATATGCACTTATAGGTTGAAATTATGCGCTGTGCTACAGAGGAAATCCGCCGCAAGGATCAGCAAAATGCTAGAAAGCACCATTTTTAATGACCGTAAAAGCGACTCAGTTGTCATCTGTTTTCTGTCTTTTAGAACGTGGGTGCTATTGCTACATGAATATGCTAGTTTCTCAAGTAATCTAATTTTTACGCTTAAATCACTTTTATTACTGAATGACAGATTTCAGCAATACCTGTACGCATTCCTAGTCAGCGGATATCCGTTCACTGTGGGAGATTAAACTTTAGGTCGAGGCAGGGGGGTCAAGGCTCCCCGCATTTCAGCCCACGTGTTTTGGACGTTATAGCAAGAAAACCGTTCTAGCGCAATGTAACTCAGTTGAATATTTCGTGGTTGTTGGTGAGTTGCGTCTCCGGAGAATTTCGCAGTCTTCGTTCATGTACAGGTAAAGTACGGTACACATTCAAACCTTTGTATACCGTACTTATTTGTGCGGACGAGTGTGCAACTGCCACATGATTGTACTTATTTGTGGTTAATAATACAAAAGTTATTGCTAAAGCTTCGCAGAAAGACTTCCTCTTTATTACTTGCTTCCGCAACAACGCCTATGGATATGCTTTGTTTCCTGCTCTTCAAAATGGGGAACTGTCATATTTCATGAGATTAACGGAAACCATCGATCGCAGTTAAACCCCCCACAAGAAAGGAAGGCAGCTGTATTCACCTTACTTCAACTTTATTTTAATATTTGGGGAAAGTGTTGCCTTAAATAAAGAGTTCATTGATTCGTCGCCAAGACAGGATAACCTATCTTGTTCGCCGCCTAATAGGAAACGCACAAATAAGTATACACCCAAACCTTTAAAAGAAAAAAGAAGGAGAGAAAAGGAAAAACGAAACAAGTATCAATTGCAGGAAACATTATTTACGTCAGATACCAAATGCAGGCTGCTTTTATCGCCGACTATCAACACTACGCCCGTATTTAGTCCTTTTTAGTCTCTATTCTAAGCTAAGGACTGATTCCATGGCACTGCAATCTGCCTAACTACTCGACACCTCAGTAGTAAAGTACATAACATTAGCAGAGATCGGGTGCAGAAAACAGTAAAATTCTCTAAGGAAAAGTGCAATATTGTCCTCTCTTCCAGAAACACACAGGAATATTGAACTAATTCTTGGTTACCTCACTTAGTAGTTACAGGCCCCTGCACCCAAACTGCTGACATAAACATACACTCAGCTCCACGGCTGTAATGTACCTGTCAAGAGACAAGGGAGGACGTGGCTTGCGTTCAGTTGCACGGGAATATAAAGTCAGTATCAGAAGCTGCATCAGGACCCAAACCCCTCTATGAGCGCCGGTTAGATGTTTTGAGAGAAAGCGGCTGAGAAAGGGTATTGATCGTGAAGAGAGTAGACGTCTGCACATACTCATATCATTGGAGGTGTAATAGAGTTCAATTTCCTGTCATTTCCCACGTGTAGATAAATTCAAAATTACGGCCCGCATTTATATATCAAATGAAGAGAAGAAAATAGCAATTCGCACCCAAATTTAACATTTGTACTGTTGTAACTGTATTTTGAAATAAACCGTGTATTAAAATCTAAGAGCAAGAAACGGTACTTCGCGGGGGGTCTTGCGTCTGAAAATTTCATGTGCTGCTAACCAGCTGGAATATTGCTACGAAGTTTAAAGCTTGTATCAAAAATCGCATAACTCTCTCCGCCGGACTAATAAAGCTTTCGGAGGTTTGGGGTGATGTGATCCACTCTTCTAGTTTTTGTGAGCAATGGAGAGGCTGAGGTTTAAAAACGCTAAAGTTTCGAGATTTCTCTATCAGAGGGTCATACAAGAGACTTTTTCAACAGTCCAATTTAAGGAACACAAGAGCGTGAATCAGTTTTTCCGCCCTAATTTGATCCACATCCAATATTACCAATACGCTCGAGGGCAAAGGATGCAAAATTGCAGAGATTGCTCATACGAACGAACATCGAAAGCACTGGTCAAGGGTGACCCCTAGCACGTGCACTAACGCTAATGTTGTTCACCAAGAAAACAATTACAGAATGTAGGCCAAGGGTGATGATAATATCTTAATGGGCGCAACGTTGAGATTCGTAAAGGAAGAGGAACAACGGAACAAAGCACCCAGCTGGACTAGAGAGAAAATCTCTGATGACAATAGACTGCGATCAGTTAGCCAAATCGGATTCAATCCAAGCCAGGGTATAACTTCTCAACCCACAACGGGTGTACAATCTTTAGATTAGGACACCATGGTCGATGGTGTCGAAGGCAGGACCATGACAACATCATCATGATTATCAAAATATATGTCATTAAAAACGCGCAACAAGGCTGTTCTGATGCTGTGATTTACCCGGTATGCTGATCGAGTTGCAGTGTGTATTCATACCCATTTTTTTTTGGGCAAATCTGTCCAAGCGGGGAAAGGTGCAATGAGGTCAACTCTGTGTGAAGCACCAACCCGCGAAACAAGGCCACACCACTGCACCAGGAACTCCGTGCCCTACTCTTTACGACAAGTACGTAAGTTCTTTAACGTCCCCTACTGACCATATGAAGATGCAGGAGACGGGGCCTACAATTTATCATCCTTATCCGAGAAGACTAGAACATCTAACCATTTGCAGATGTCATTCCAAAGGCAGCATGTTCTCCTCAGTTATTTTAAGACCCTGAGTGTTGGTCCGGTCTGAGGCTCGAACCCGACACTTCCTCACGGCAGTCCGGCGCTCTACAACTGAGCTAACCGGTCGGTGTGCAAAGCATTGATGCCAAGATGGCGTTTAAACTAAATTGCTCCAATGTGCTTAGTAAAGAACACTGACAGCAGACCGTTACGTTGACTAAACTTCCTGTACCGTTATCCAACGTCAGCTCGAGCTTTTAATGTCCTCGACGCTGTCTCGAAAACAGTTCGAAAACGTTTCCTACAAAATTAAAGCCTAGTAATGTACGGCAAAACGAAGAGGGACGACTAAACGATAGGAAGGGAGAGAGTCTTGAAAGTTTGTTTTCTGTACATGCGCAAATTAGGAGACCTGCAATTTGGCATCAGGAACAAAAGACATAGTAGTGTTCTACTTGTAAACAACGTTATGGGCAGTATTGCGACATTAAGTACAACAATGCTTGACTACTCTCCTACAACCAAAGAGGGCCTTTACCCGATCTTCCGATAAGACTCGATATCTTTCGACTAAGCAGACTCAATATAAAGAGAAAAACGAGATGGGATTGACAACACGCTCGCAGAACTGGTACGACAAGCTAATAGAGAGATCGTGACAATCAATGTTATTGAAAACAGGGTTACGAAAAATGATAAAAAACTGTCAACCATGCGGCCCTTGAATGAAAAATTAAAACATTTACAAGAAGAAACATTCGATAATTCAAAATCTCATTTATATCCAGTGAGTGTATTTTGTCCAATTGACTTCGCGGATTTGGGCCTTTATACCCGATAAAATTCGGCAAACTGAAAAGTCAAGGGAGGGCTTTGAATTCAGCGTCAAATACGGGTAGGAATGACACAAAAAATGGAATACCGATTTGGATGAACATTTTATAAAAAAAATAGTAATAAACATGAAATTTTATTTAAAATGGCTCTCTTAATTTGCAAGTAAATGAAAAGTCACAAATTTGACCTTCAAAAAAAGTCACTTAAAACAAATTCATCCTTAGCCGAACAGAAAACCTTCGACCAGACAGGACGTATTCTAAAACGAAATACGAAGTTCTCTAACTAAGAAAGCACCAAACTGCGGTCCACGTTACCATTTTAAGAAGGAATGGAGGAAATGAGTAACAGGCATCATAATTTAATTCTATTATCAATTGCCTATTACTCCGCGTTGCAGTTAGATTAAGCGACACTCTACTTGAGCTGAGAAGGATAAAGTTCAGAGAATTATTCCCTCATATAGGCTCTCTACCCATCGTAATCCCTCTAAAGTTATTTTTGGAACGTATCGGTTTTCCCGCGGATAACATTTCTTCGCGCGTTGCGTGGAAGTTTCGTGGAGGGATGAAAGTGCAAAAGCGGGTTGGGAGTGTAGGAGTTACGATGAATGCGAAACAAGAGAGGATAAAGAGGGTTTATCCTCTCCTAATGCAAAATGAGAATCTTTTTTGATTTTTTTTTTTATTTGAGCATGTAATCTGTATCAGTCGGCATTGGCATGAAGAAACAGAAAATCGTCAGAAGATTCACAAAGGAAATTAAGTTCGAAATAAGCTCATGAGTGCGAAACGTGACCGCCTAAGAGTATGCTTCAAAACAACAACGGTTATTTACTTTTTCTTCTATAAGTCTTAAAGCACTTACTACACTCACTTCCTTGAAGTCGCAGTCGTCTACAAAACGTATACATGCGACTCGTCTTCCTATGGCTATAGTTTTCTTAACCTAACCTACGTCTTCCGCCAACTTAAATAATTTGATTCGCGAACGTCGCGAAGCTTTGCGTGGGACTTCGCTCACCTGTCAACATTGGTAAAACTAAAGACATATGATTGGCACTCACTCAACCCTCTTGAGAACAACAGATCTCAGAGAAGATCTTAAAAAAAAAAGGTAGAGGGATTACGATGGGTATAGGGCCCATACAGGGGAATAATTCTCTGATCATGAGCTTTATCCTCTCGTCTTGAGCAATTTTTTCCTCTTGTGCAGCTGGATAACTGTAAAATTTCTTTCATTTGGATAGCCGTATTGGAAAGGCAAGTAAACGCTTCGACTGTGTACTTCAGTTGCATAATGTAATTGTATAAATATATTTGCTGCTTTTGTTTTACTTTTCTCAATCAACACGTTTTAAAACGAAAATTGCATTATTCAGCAATCCTATTCATATGAAATGCTTCGGGGACGTTTTTGAAGCTGTCCAAAGAACTCACAGCATGTGTTTAATCACTACATAAACACTACTGTTCGTGTTCTAAACATTACATATATACTACTTAAAAGTTCGAACACAAATGATGAATGTCCTTTTTTAAAAATCTTTGTTGATTTTCGCTCTTCTTAAAGAAAAAGAAGAGTGTTCGAAAATGTACTTCAAGCTGCTCTGGAAATATCTTCTCTAAATTTTGCTGCGAACTTTAACCAGCTATTCCTTGCCCTTGTTGAGGCCTCAAATGTAATAAATGACCCTAAATGTAATAAAGGTCCTAATTGTAATAACTTTTGGCCCCAAATGTAATAAAGGTCCTAATTGTAATAACTTTTGGCCGCAAATGTAATAAAGGTCCTAAATGTAATAACTTTTGGCCCTAAATGTAATAACGGGTCCTAAGTGTAATTCTTTCAGCTCTTATTATGCTTATGGTCATAAGAAGATTTCATAGTGTTGGCTTTCAGCCTTATTACAGGTTAACTGAGCGCATGAATGTGTCTAGGGAAGAATCACTAAATACACCAGGCAGATCCCCTATATAGCCATTTGAGTAACAACTTATTATTATTCATGTGGTGAAATCCTGGAAAAAAAAAGTTAGCATAAAAATTCACTTCAAGAAGTACTCCTGGTAGAAATTAAAATCAAAGTCAGGAAGTCCGAAAAACTATCAAGATATACTGCCCTCAATATCTTGCTGTTTATATATAACTTCGTGTTCACAGCATTCTGTATGGACCGACCGACATACTCTTTTGGAAAATGATTAAAAAAAAAACATTTCTTTTTTTGGCGCAACATTAAAAAAACCCATAGGCAAAAGTAGTTAATTTACTACGACTGTTTCTAATGCACATTAATACTTCCTTCAATTACTAAATTACTACTGTCTTTTGAAAACTTTTGTGTAGATTCCAGTTGTTTATAACTCGCGTTTTACGATGTAGGGATCATGTAGTAGGAAACGCGATCGAGACGTAGTTAATTTACAAGTGTTTCTCCTACTTCTTGAGCGCTCTAGCCGCTTTCTAAGTTTATGAATATCTATGAAGACTTCATTAGGGCGAAGAAAGTGAATCGCCCTGGGAATCGCCAGGTGGCTATAAAATTAATATCGCATCAGACCGTCGCATGTTTCAGTCAGGGACTTTATCAAGTTTGGGGTTGTTATACTACATACATGCAGTATACTGTTAAGACTTCCATTACATCTAGGGCTAAAACCTATTACACATATAACATTATGAGACCCTTTATTACATTTAGGGCCAAAAGTTATTACATTTAGGACCTTTATTACATTTAGGGCCAAAAGTTATTACACTTAGGACCTTTATTACATTTAGGGTCATTTATTACATTTGAGGCCTCAACACCCTTTTGAAAAATAATGTCAATTATTTTCAGTCGAGGAACGTAATTGACGCCATTTTGGATTTGCTCTGAAATTTAGATAATGACGCATGCATTCTACAAATAGAAAGCCGGAGGCCCCGATGGGAACGTCTAACCCCTGTTTCCTGTTGTTAAGATTGTTCCTTGGGACATTATGCAAAGTGAGATCAATTTTTTTATTCAAATAACAGACTTCGACTTTATAGGGAAGCCAGTCGAATATCGCAGTTATGAAATTAAGGCAGGGCTAGTGGAAATCCTAAATATAACATCAGACAATCGAGCAAAGACATGAACAGTATTCGGTGTTCTAGATAAACACCTCTTATTAAGTAAACGGAAAAACCCCTTTGCATTTGTATCTTCTTCGCGGAATTAAGATTTTGATTCTTTAGCAGGTTGACTGTCGAAAACAGACGAAATTGAATATCATTCAGCAAGGTATTTGGAATTTGCAAACTTAAAGCAACCGGGAAATTTAAGAGGAAATAATACTAAGCCATACGGTTGACTGGTCTAACCACCAAATATGTCGCAACTGAATGGATGTCGTAAAGGAACACCACCATGAAACCAATTTGAATTGAGTTTCTTACAAAAATCGCTACACAGCATTTGCAAACGTAGCCGAATCGGTTAGGTTTGAGCCTGCAAAATTAGTTACAAAACAATTTAGTGTAAAGCTGCTTTGTGTGCACAAGAATCGCGCACAGTGTGCTTTGTCGGGTGACAAAGCCAACACACAATATCATCTAAAAATATCACACTGCTGTCCAGTCACGCGACAGTTAGAGAGCGGGTTAATGATCATTCAAATTCTTCCGATTCTTTAGTTTTAATTAACTTGACCGTAGCAGCTTGTTGCAAATTGAAAATTTTAAACAGACATTTTACGATGTTTTTTAAAGTCTTGGTGGCTGAATACTTGTAGCGTATGTTTTTACCGCGTAACAACGCCCCAAGTGTTATTTCGTGCTGTGCGTCAGCAAAGAATACTGGGTCAAAAGGTTAAAATATTGGCCAACGCAAGCATGATAAAAAGCAAAGATTGGCCTTGACATATCCGCAATATCATTTAGTAGCCAATCAGATTTTACTACGGGTTACACACTTCATGGTCCCATGAACAGAGACAATCAAGAAAAGAACATTCGACGAACAAATCTCAATACAAAGAACGCCATACTTCATCACGGTTCATGGTTACGAGGAAAACGTTTTGAAGTCGTACTACGAGACGGGTATTTTAAAATACACCTCTGTTATGTATTGAACTGATAACACAACAGACTCCAGGCCAAGGGACGCAAAGCAACTTGGTGGCCGCCCAGCCTGGCTTCATTTTGAATACGAATATAGAGTTCAACCATGGACATCACACCAACTTGAACGGGAGTCAATCAAGGAAAGATGCCTTAAAGTTTAAGTAGAAGACGAAAAGGAGAAAAGAAAAGAGCGAAAAGCTAGCGAAGGAAGCAGACAAGAAAGGAAACGCGCGACGGCACAAAATGTGGTCATTTTGCCGCAACTTTGCCACAGGGAGAGAGACGGAGATTACAACCATAGTACACAACTTCAATCAACAAGGCAAAAAAGAAACACTGAATTTAAGTGATCGATTTGGTCACATTTTCTGTTCGGTACTGGCTCCCCCAAGGTATCTTTGTTCCGATAGTGGAACTGGGACATTCCACGACGTATCCCCGGATACTAGAGACACCGTAAGGTATGGATCCATACGTCAATAATAACGTACCGAATTGTAATCAGTAAGCCTCGTTCCCAGGGATTTTCGCGCAACTACAACAGTGACAGAGGTATGGCATCGCCAAACTCAACGCAAGTTTTGAGAGTGGCCAAGTGAGATGACAAGGCAATGAACCAAGCGTATCAGCAAGAGCAAGCAGAGAAGTATAAGGTGAGAGTCTGAAACCCTTGACATTCTGCTGCAATATTCATAAATTAGTACAGTAGAACCTCGATAACTCGAACTCAGATTAACTCGAATTCCCAGCTATCTCGAACTAAATTTCCTTTCCCTTGATCAAAATTTCAGTGAAATTTACCCGATGACTCGAATTCCCCGCTAAGTCGAAACGTTTTTCGTTTCCCTTCAGAGTTCGAGTTACCAAGGTTCTACTGTAATTGGACAGTGATTCTGTTACCACCAAAGACGCAAAATAATTCAATACTTCGTAGGACGCAAAGATCGATCGATCTGAAGATGCTTTTAGTAGAATATCCTGTTCGTGTGATTTCTGTGGTTGTTCTTGTGGCTACTTTTAACGACGCATATTTTTTAGCCTTTACAATAGAAGGAGTATATTTTTATTATAGTAAACTGTAATACAGATTTTTGTCTTTCGTTTTTTGGAACTGAGACTCATGATAATTTACAAGACGAGTCCCAGGACTCACCATAATTATTTGTAACAAAATCACTGATTGGACTTTTCTAATACGCATAGTCTTCGACCAACAAGCACCATAAATATGTTTTGCCCATTTTTGGTCTCTTAAACTTGGGAAAATTCACGGAAAGACTAACCAGTGGCAAAATCTGTAGATACTAGACTATTAAAACTAAGCTGGTGATTTTGACCTAACACTTTATCTCAGCTTGGTTATAAACGATTACTTGGTAAGGTGCGAATGCATCATTTGTATGCTTGCCATGGTTTGTATGTATTTTTTCTTCTCTTTTGCAAAAGGCAATTCTTAAAGTACAGCAGTCATTGATTAACAACCTCTGGGGATTTTTGAGTTATCAAGGCCGTACGGTTCTCCCAGAAGTCACAAGGTAATAAACATTACATGCATTTCCAGGTTAGTGTTTCAGTGTCAGGTTTAAACTAGCTCTCAAAGGTATTACCCTATTTTAGGAACCGTTCATTTTTTATCAAGTAGGGGGGAGGGGGGCTGGTGGGATTTGAGTGGGGGCATGAGAAAAATATGGCTTTAAGGGAGGGGTCACCAAAAAACTCCTGCAATTTTTCGGTGATGGCAATCATCCTACCAGAATGCAGAAAAACCAGCATTCCTCGGTAACATTCAGAAAGTTCAGATTTTCCCGGGGAAGCATGTCCCTAGACCTTCTTACACGAAAAGGCAATTCTGTCCCAGTAAAATGTAAAAAAGCATAGAAGCATACCAAATCGAACGTTTCACTAGGAAAAAGTAAACTCAGTCATTTTTCACTTTCTTTGTCTTCTACTCTCTCTTTCTTTTCCTTTTCTTGTTCTTTTTTTTGGGGGGGGAGGGGCGGTCATCTCGATTAATTTGAGACACAAGTGGGGAGGGGGGAGCGCCCACAAAATTTCTTATGAAGAAGGGGAGTCATCATGTACTACAAGAGCTACCCGTCGAATTCCACCAACCCTCCTCCCCCATTAAAAATGAACAGTCCCTTATATAAGTAGTCATTGTCGCGATTACACATTTGTCAAACCTCTAGTTAAACAACTTCTAGTTAAACAACAGTACTTATACTCTCAAACGATGAAAAGACATTGCCTATAAATATTATTGTTTATTTTTCTTTTTGCACAGCATTGCCCAAAATGTAAGTCTGGACGAGTTGAATTGGGTAAGTTTTTTATGAGTGTTTTATGAGGCGACAGCTACTGTTAATTGGGACCACAGCAAAAGCACAAATATAAGAAAGAACATGTAAAATAGAGCATTACGTTTCAAGAAGCAGGGCTATTGTTTTTCCTTTTCTTTTTTCCATTTTTTTGTTAACGCATGAAAGCTAGGTCTTGTCGTAGGATCCAATAAACACAAATGCATGTAAAACCTGCAGATAATGGGGCCAGTCTATGTTTCTGACAAATTCACTGTATTAAGCACATCCCAGGTTTCTATATTAGGTATAACTTGTGAAAATGTGCTCCTGACGGTTGTCTCCGTGAAATTCTTTGCAGGAAGATCCACAGCAAGATGAATGGCACACTGTTTTATTTATTGTGAGGAACATGGAATTACTGCTTGGAGTACGTATTTAAACGCAGTGAAGAGAAATGCACAATCAGTTATTTCATAGTGAAAATCGTCTCGCAAATAATTGATACGACGTCTAACACGAGACAGAGCAAAGATGGGTTGGGGGGAGGCACCAACACGCATATCATGTGAATCATCCAATCAACTGTACCTATAGGTACAAAGGTATCACTACTATTATGACATTAGTACCATAACATTAGTAACTGCAGAATCGAGAAATAAAAATCTTTCTTCCAAACCAGAAAGGCAGGCCAAACAAAAACTACTTTTATTCTATTCTAGAAAGAATCGCAGCAGAATAGGGAAACATCACCACACCAACTGCTAAAAGAAGCGTTAAAGGAACTACGGAAATACTTTCTGTCAAAGCACACTGTTGTCTCAAAAGAGGCTACAAGGTACATATATTTGAAAAAATAGGTGTTTCTGTTAGCTTATAAACATTTTATGAACTAATTTCAAACTTTACTGTTACAGAAATTTGTTACTTCCTTTTCTTATCATATACAGTACCTACAACCCTGTGTTTTTGCTCAGCATTTAAAAGAGGAAATTAAGAAATGACATGTCCATTTTGTAGCATAGTAACGTGTAACGTGAGGTTCAACAACACCATATGACACTTCCCTAACTATGTGCGATCTGGTTAGGAGAACTGTTATACATAATGACTGTGATACAAATTCTCTTTTACAGCCATTGTCACGGCCAAGAATGGAGTGAAGACACTTTGGTACGTTTTACAAATCCTTACATTTATATACCAGATCTTAAAACACAACAGCAAATTTTTCTCGATAAACCGATGAAATATCAGCACATCATGCCTCGAGCCCTTGAAACCTCAATGCTCACAACACTTGCAGATCAAGAAAGAATGTTGAATAATCTTGAATAAAAAAGATCGTATTGAAATACAGATGTGTAAATATGTAAGGAAAGTTAAACCGTGAAGTAGACAAGTATCATATTGAAGGCATGATAGTTTCCATTTATCAGTGCTCGAAAGTGCTTGTATGCTCATAGTTGTTTTCAACGGTAACAAGTTTGTTGTAGCCTACAAGCAAATGGAGTCCTAGTTCAAATTATTTTTAGACTAATATTTTTTTTCAATCAAAAATTGTTGCTGATTTACTACCATAACGTTAACAAGAGAAAAATTGAAATCAGATCCCAGAGTAACTGTCAAATCATGACTGTGCAGTGTTGAATGTTAAATGTTATTCCTTTTGTAGTTAACTAGAAATATAATAGAAGATTGTAACGCTGTTGTCCATATCCTTCAGCAAAATACAAGATTATTGGAAATAAGTGAGGTGAGTACCTTCGAGACTCAACTGTTATTTGATGCAGCTAACTAAAAAAAATCCAGTTCACCAACACATTTCTCCCCATCATACTTTACCCTAGAATAATTTAATTACCACGTCAACCAAATTCAATAACACTTTAAGCCCCAATATCCACATACAAATTCTTCAGACTGATCTCCATACATCTCAACATTCCCATGAACATTTCTTTTGATTATGTATTGATACTGTTAAAAGAAATTTAACGTTGACCACTCTTGGTACTTAAGGGTTAACTCTGACAATTACCCTTACTTACTTCATTTCTGTTTAACTTAGTAACTTTTTATAGTAAAGGTGACTGAAACATACCTTCACTTTTGGTGTAGCCAGCATCAGTAAAACAATTCAAAGTAAGAAAATGAGATCGAGTACTTGAGTATTTGAAGCATAACAATTTTTATAAGTATAAGGTCTCTTTTTACGACGAACACGTTTCTGTTTCATAAAAAACTCTAATGCTGTGTCATTTCAGATGTGTTCAGGTGGTTTCTGAAATAATTACAAATTAAAATTGGCTAATATATTTTTTGACCTACAGCATGTTGGCAGTCTTGAAGACTTGTATCAACCTCTCAACAGGATACTGAATTATTTGAAGAATAGATCAATCAAGCTACGACAATCAGTATCCTCCGCCAGGTAATTCGTGTAAAACTACCTAAAGCTGCTTCTGACTGGCTAGAAAATATTTTCGCACAGGTGTAATAGGGGCGTATTAACTGTAAGCTTATCACAAAGGTTTTCTAAATCAGAATTGATATTATTAACAAGAACATCTCTGTCAATACTAAGGGCAAAAATTTCAGTATAGTCCGTATTTAAACAGGGGGTAGTAAATTCTAAGCAATTTGGTAAGTCATAGGGCCAAGAAACGACCCTTAAGGAACTCCACAGAGTAAGTTTCTATGAGAAGATAAATATATCCATCAGAAAAAAGTTGTTGTTGTGGGGTGGTAGGATAGGACTTAAACCACATCAGTTCCCTAACAGAGACTCCATAAAACTCAACTTTGTATGATAAAACTGAATGATCAATTGAATCAAAGGCCTTGATACCGCCCTTGGGTCTCCAAGGATAGGTTTAGTAAGCTAACTATAGAGGAAGAAATATAGAAGTGGCCCAAAACGATTTTCAATCAAGGCCAAATAACCCCATTGCTGTTCTGCCAAACTTTGTCCCTGGTTTAAATTAGTTGTACATTGCTTTGTGACACTCTCACAAAGATAAACAAAATATCTATACAGTTCTAGGCAAAATTATTCTACATTAAGAGTTAAGAGACGTTTAACAGTAGAGTCGTGTGCTAACGACAGTGAGCCATTGCCATTAGAGTCTCTGCAAAAAACATCTCAAACTTTAAAGCTATCCTGGCATCCCATTTTGAATCCATATTATTAAGTAATCAAGAAAAGACTTTATTTCATGAGGGCAGCACTTAATAGCCATAGGCTTGTGGCCCTCAATAAATAATTTATTGCAAATTGGTAATAGAAAATTGTTATTAAAAGTATGATTATGGTACAACCTGTTTCATTTCTACACAGTGATGAAGAAAATAGATTGATAAAAGAACTGACTGAGTCGGTAAGTGAAATTTGTACAATAAACTTACCAATTACAAGTCTTAAAACTAAATATTAATGATAATGAATAGAGTAAGTTATACACCAACCAGGAGGTTCATAAAAATAGGAAGACTGAGGAAGACAAAGCTCAGTTAGACATGTAATATGCGAAATTTCAAAGTTGAGTGTAGTTGGATTGAAAAAAATTGCAAACTGTTTTGCACTTGAAAATATTAACATGTTACACAATAATTTGCAATAGATCAGAATTTAAATTAGGTGATAGGAAAAAGAAATAAAATTAACTAAATTACAAAAAAAAAAAACGGGTAAGTTTCAAAATACTTTTGATGACATTTAAGGCATTAAATGGACTGTCTCCTACTTGTATCTCTGAACTAATTCCGCATTACCAACAAACTAGAACCTTAAGGTCCTCTAACTGTAATTACTTGTCAGTTACCAACTGTTCTACTAAATCATAAGGGGATAGATCTTTTACTGTTGCCTCTGCCAAGTTTTGGAACTCGCTTCCTTTAAATCTATCTAACTGTAAATCTGTTAGCACTTTCAAGTCACAACTTAAAATCTACCTTTTCAACTTGTAATTTCCCTTTTCTGTTATATTCATGAAGTGTATTTTTCACTATTATTTATGTAACTGCATATTATTTCCAGGCCAATAGTAGTATTACTAGTTTATAGTGTATTATAGTTTTCCTACATATAGAATTCCTTTAAAAATCTAATTTAATTTTTTCAAATTCAATATATACTTTTGTATTTTTAAATTTTCCTTAATGTTAAGAGCATTGAGACTTTGTATATAAGGCTCTAAATTTATTATATTAACACCAATGAAATACCACGTGAGCTTTTGCGCAAAAACATTATATCATCACACGTGAAAATAACATGTTATTTTCACATACGAAAAGATCACCGTTGCTACGGCTACATAATAGATTGTGCCTTTTGCAGCAAAACACTATTTAAGTGAAATGGTTTGGCATTCATTGGTGTTTACATAATAAATAGAACATTACATGGACGCTTGGAGATACGAAATTTCTCTTCTCATGTTGAAAAAAAAATATTTCTCTCATTCGCGCTATTTTTCAACACTCGAAGAGAAATTTCATATCTCCACGCTGCCATGTGATATCCTCTATAAAAAATATAACTATTATCATTATTGTTTTTTATTATTATTGTTGTCATCATCATTATTATTATTATCTTAAATGGAGAATGAAATGATGTAGTGAACTAGTACAGGGTACCATGATTAGGCAGTTGGTGAACAACAATTTTATTATACCTCACCTCAACATAATAATCTTCATGCAGCAGCTTCCAAATAAATATGATTGGGCAGTTTTTAGACAGTCTATAATGTCAAGATTCGAAGTACACTTGAAGTTACAACTGAAGCAAAAGGAAAGACAACAAATGTTAAATAAAACACAAATTTGAGTACAACGCAAATTGCTTTTTAATATCATTTTTAGCATAAGTGACATTGCACATTCTACATTTTATTTATTGATATATACTAGAGTATCTTCACTAAGCCCCAATTTCAACAATAAACAACATCAAACATGACAACAAAGGGAACTGTTATAAAATTTTATTCACCTCCATAACCTCTTTTTGGGTATTGATATGCTGTAAACTGCCGCTTATGTAAGCCCTGGGGTTTTAGGAGGGTTTATAAACAAAGAAGCTTACATCCAAGGGGCTTATAACCGGACAAGAAAAACAACTTCAAAACAAGCTATGACAGTGCTGATCAAAATGTTTTGCATTTACTGGTTTTAAATTAGGCTTCAAAACGTCATAATAAATTGAATTCATTTCAATACAAGTTAGACGGGGGTTTATATCCGGCAGGGGTTATAATCAGATGTCTATTTTTGTTTACAGGTACATGGGCCTATAACTGGGGGGGGGGGATTAATTATATTATAAGTGGCAGTTTATGGTAGGCTATGAAAGGTGACAAAAAAGATGGAACTAGTAAGCAGGCAAGAAGCAAACATAAAGACAGGATCATGTAAAACTGCACATAAGGTTTTATTTCCATGATCTTTAAATTATTTTTGATTTCCTTTAGTCAATGATAGACTAATTTAAAAAACAGATTCACATAGGATAATAACAGTCATATAAGTTTGTATTACTTTATCCATGTTTTTTAATATTTTTATTCAATAATCAGGCTTTTTTTCTTCTTTTGCAGATACCAGTTCAACTGGACGATTAGCAGCAAGCATCAGTCCAGCTAGTGATGTTGCTCCCACAACGCCTATTAAACAACTTAATTCCACTGAAGATAGGAGAAGTAATTCTAAAGATTTATACACTGTATATAATTTGATTACATATTGAAGTGTTTTCTATTATTGACAACTGTTACAAAGATGTAATAATTCAACACAGTTGTTGTTAAATCATAGACAATTGATATCAAATGATCCATTAAATTTAGACAAATATTTTTCTGGGTTAGTTTTTTATGGTAAAGTAAACAATTTTCAAACTAATGAGGTAAACAAAATTTGTATATTTAAAATGGATAACGATCAAAATGGAAGTAATCCATGGAATAGAGAATAAACTTTAAATAAAACCTGTCTAAGGCCCCACTGACATTAATCAACATTACCAGTAAATGCTGGTTACCTACACTAGTACCGGTAATAAAGTTTACAATGCATCTCTTGATCTTTGGATAAAATGTGTTATTTCACTTTGAAAAGATAATTTCGATTCCACCCACAATAAAAAGCAAAGCATGCATTTTTAAATTTTATCTACTTGGATAATAATAATAATAATAATCATAACTATAACAAAATTGTCAAATCTGATTGGCTCTCAACTGCCCTGATTTCAGCCTTAATTGGACAGTTTAATAGGACAGTACGCGTCATGCCTAAGTAATTGGACAGTACGCGCCATCACGCGCGCGCTTAAATGGCTTTTTTTTCACTGCCAGCAAAACAAAATTTCAAATTTCATGTGTTTTGATTTAAAAAAAAAATTGCCTATTATATCACAAACTTTGTTAAAGTTATGATTAATTGGTAACAGAACTTCGTGTCGTCCAATTCGGTCTGTAATCATACTCGTGATTAAACAAATCGGACTCCCGCTGCGCGGTCGTCCGATTTTGTTAATCACTCGTATGATTACAGACCTAATTGGACTCCACTCAGTCCTGTTACCATTACTAATAGTTTTTTATAATAGTAATAATTACTAGTATAAAAAATTTTTATTTTATTGACAACAAAGCTAACTATTGAAATCCTATTTACAATTAATTCGCTTAAAAAACCTATTCACTCAAAACGCTATTTACAATTCCTTTCGATAAAAAAAACACTTAATTTTGATTGGGAAAACTTAATTTACTTAAAAATTATATACTTGAATTAAAAGAAAGCATTTCATTTCAATCAAAACCCTGAATTCATTTCGAATTTTTTAAAAAAAAAAAACTGTTTTCAAGGGTAAACAAAATTACCAAAAAAGAAGATAATAAAATAGCATTGTCAGTGGCTTGTCCTTTTTCAGTATCTAAGTCAATGTCCGACAATTCTAAATTGACACTCCTAGAAACTCGCAAACTTCTTAAGTGAAGTAATGCTGATCTCAGCAGTGCAAAAGACACTCTTGCCCTGATCTGTGACATGGTAGTCGCATAGCTGTCACCCTTCTTTCTACCAACTAGCTAAGCAAGCCTACTATGGTATCGTTTACATTCCACTGCCATTCCACTTCTCGTGCTGAAAACTAAGGGCATGAATGTAGCTTGCTCTAGCACTCAGCTAGCGTACTGGTGCTTCTTCTCTGTTTCGTGTTGCCTAAATATTTGGTATGGATCCATGTCTCTATAGCAGGAGTCTGCATTCGGGTGGCATCCCCTCACATCAAAGGTATAAAATTCATTGGCAGATGGTGCAAATCAAACATTTTACAGCACCACAAAAAATGCCTCATTTTCAATTTTCAAGACGTGCAAACAGGCAGTGGCGGGACAAAATACTCGGCGCTCCCCAGCGCGGCCAGAAAATTATTGTGAATCAAAGCAAACTTATAGTCTCAATAAAGCCTTTCACTTGCCAGAGTTTGAGGCAAAATTATTTTTCACGCGAAATTGAGTGGGCGGTTTTTACTGAGACATCCTCTTAATAATCATGATTAAAAATGGGAAAATAATGTGCTCTGTTACCAGGAATTTTTTTCCCTGGTAAAAAGACATTGTAACATTTCAATTCTTGGGTTAAATGCCTTGCCACTTTTATTACATACAGTGACTGTGCATTGTCACACATTTCCCTCAAAAGTCTCCAGAAAAATTCATTAAAATCATTACTAATATGACAATACACTGATCATGAACTTTGAAGTTTCAGTGTTTTATACTTTTGGCTTTTAAGTAAACATGAAATAAATATTGTTACGTTGTGATCATCTTATTGCTTGCTTTGGCGTATACTGTGCTGATGGTACTGCCTTTGCTCCTTTTCCCTATGGGTACCATGTATATTTGTACATTGTACCATAAACAAGTATCCTACTACAGTCTAGTTATAAAAGGGGCTACATCATAAGGATATTAGGGTTTGAGGTCAATTCTGTCAACCCCTTGCGGGGAAAGCCTCCATACAACGGTCATTACAGAGAGTGCCCCCCCCCCCCCCCACACACACACACACACCCCACTTCCCAACATCTGCGACTCAAAGAGCCACTACAAAATAGGGCTTCCCAGGGAAAACCATTTTGTCAATCAACAGTCAACAATCTCAGTGGCTTCTAGTCAAAGATAGCCTGTTCCAGGCGTTTAGATAGTGGGAAGCGGTGCGAACTAAAAAGGAGCGCGAAAAAATAAAAACGAGGCCCCCTCTACTTTTCATCGCTTTCTTCACTTCGCACCGCTCTCCACTATCTGAACGCTTGGAACAGGCTAAGTCAAAGAGTATAAGAAAATAACCCAAAGTTGTAACGTTCTTTTTTTGTTTTTTCTTTGGGGGGGGGGGGGACAAATGTAGATAGTATGTCATCTGGAAAATACTGAACTCATTCGTAGTAAAGTGCATCCCCACTTCATGAATGCCCCATTTAAATGAACAGACATTCCTTACACTTTGGTGGCCCAGTGATGACTTTTTTTTTACTGTATTTGGATTTTGAGAGGAAGCCAAGTCTTGAACTCTTAGAAGGCAGGGTTTTCACACCAAAAGAAAAAAGTACTTCTGCACTTTAAGTTATAAGCTGTCATTTGAAGATAATTTGAAGAGAGAGAATTTCACAAGCAATGGTGTCAGTGTCGGCAACAAGAACGCCAAAAGACAGAAGGTTCAATTTGCAAAACAATAACTCTGCATGTGCATCACTATCTTTGGTGCATTTTCTTGCCTCGACTCAACACGAAATTGCTTTAATTTTCGTTCGATGTGTTGTTCCAGGAAATATCCATACCCCCACAGAGGACATTTTTGCTTTACCCCCCCGAATGGAATTCCAGGGGGTGTTTGTCAGATCCCCCCCACCTTCTGGAATTTCCAACTTGGTTTGGCACCCCCTGAAAAGACTGTATCCGTCAAAAATGCTGTTGCACTACACTATTATGTGAAAGATGATTGTCCCCTTTATTACGCGGGATGACGTAGTCAGCCAGCGTCTAAAATTCGGTAGCGCATTCCATTCGTCGTCTTGGGAGTCAAAAATTGCCCTGTTTTTTTAACTTTCCCGTATCCCGTGCCCGTCCCGAAAAATTGTGTGGATTTTTATTGGCAGCAACTTCGAAGCACGTGCAAGTCAGGCTGGATTGCACAAGCCGAAAAAAGATACTGCCTCAGCAAAGGAGGGAAAAGTAAGCTCACTGTGTAGAGGAGGACGAAGACTCAAGGCCGTGCTCTTAATACGGCGCAAGACTTGGCCTCGGGCGACTAAAAATATTGTCTAGGTGGCCCAGCCGGGCGACTTGCTGGTGTTGGTTTCTTGTTTCTGTTGAGTTAGAGTCAAAAAGCTAAGAATGTCTAGAATTTATTACTTGCGAAATCGTAGCTCTCTCGGTGGCTTCGCGGCCTAAAAAGAACGCACCGCTCGCTAAGAAATTCTTGAGTTCGACTTGTAAGTAGCAATAAGTAGCATGTCTATCAAAAAGCTTTAGGAAAATGTTGTTAAATCGGGCAGCGGGCACGCGTTGATGTTCAAAGGTCGTTTCACGTGAATTCACGTGTAACATAATCCTTGACTATGAACGTGACAAGCTGCACAGTTTTCGATAGTAACAGCTTTTCATTAAAACACTGAAATTTTTTCTTCAAATTAGGATTGTTCATTAGTTAGTTTTTCTAAACAAATTGTTACTTTTGCTCTGACAGGCGTGAAGTACGGTCGGCGACACAAAACAATAGTTTTGTATTTTGAAAAATCGCTGAATAAACAAGGGAGTCGGTCTTTTATGTTCTTTAAATATTTTTACCTTTTTTACTGCTGTGTCTGCGAGGCTAAAACATAACTAAGATTGTTATTCCAGTAAAATACGATGCATAAAAAAGAAAAGAGACGACTATTATAATTGTGATTGTTCTGTGTCGTGACAAGGCATTACGTATCACGTACTAAAAATAAATACGCAAAAGCTAACCGAATCTACATTTGTCCTGAACATTTCACCGATAATATAGAAAGAAAATACTTCCGTTTTGCGCTTAAACGACGACTTTTCAACAAGATGATCTATTCAAAAGAGATAATAGTTTTGGGGCGGCCCGGGCGGGCGGACTTCCTTATAAAGAGGCCACTCGGCTTATGTGCCGCTGGATGGGGTCGCATTTTCACGACTACATTGACTATTAATGAAGTTGCATTTTCAAAAGAGTTACTAGAATGGGGTCGCACATTTTCGGATTTTTGGGGTAAGAGAGCTGTTCATATTTACGGTTAGCAAACGTATCAGGATATTTGTCCTGTAGGTGAAAAGTAAAGTGTTCTTCATTCAATTTATTAAAAAAATGGGTCAATTCATTTTTTGATGACCTATTTAAAGGATTGATAAGGTAGATACATAAATAGAAAGTGACTAAGTTGGGATCGCAAAAATTACATATTTGCCCAAGAGTGACTAATATGGGGTCTACAATTGGCCACAGAAAAGACTATAATGGGGTAGGGGCTCTGAGAGGCCAGCGGCACATACCCAGCAAAAATTAACGCAAGTAACCCCCCGGGGGGCGCCGCGGTTTCGTTGAAATCATAACAGTTTTCCTGGAAAGCTCCACGGGATCTCAGTCAATCTTAATAAGCGAATTTTCTTTTCAACCTAAATCAAAATGATTAGTAAAAAGTATAGTGCCCTTATTTTTGACCCAAATTTACTTTTCCATTTAAAAAACATGAAATGTTCGGCGGCGTTGTCCATGTTTCTCATATGGCGCGAAAACTTACTTTCGTATGACAACATGCGGGTTTTTTTTTCGCACGCTCAGGAGGTCAAAGGGATGTGATTTTTCATGAAAAAAATATTCACAAAATTCTGCTTGACTTGTTAATTAACTAACAGCTCATTGATTTATTAATTTGGGCGACCAACTTGGAGGCCTGAGCACCCCAGCTAAAAATGCTTGGGTAGCCAAAAGGGCTCTCTGAAATTTTCCCTAGAGCACTTCCTTGCAGCCCTGTAGTTATTGGAAGTATGATACATTACATGCTATTGTTAAATATGGAAGTGCATTTTTTAAGGACATTGGTAAAGGAATGCAAATTTTAGTGAACTACCCCATACTCCTAACATATATGGTGGTAATATTGATGTAAGTTTTGTTTCCGTCTCTCCTGCACACATTTGTTGCATACACTACTCAACTTTCCATTGCCATCCAACATACCCGTAATTCTTTCTATACCCACACATCCCGCGTTAAGGCCTTCGGGCGTCTTCTTGTTCACGTTAATACAGCGTCTAATAATCTCAATTTTACCTTGTACAGGTATTTCTTAGTTAATGGTTAACGATAAGGCCCTGCGAAAACATGGAGGTGATAAAACACAATTGATGCCTCTGTAAAAGAACCAGTTAGGCTTTAGTTGGGCTTTCTTTACTTGTCTTTCCTAAGCCTAACAACATTACGATAAATACCACAATAATTATATTGTGCAATACAGCAACAGCTAAATAAACGAGTCGATAACAACTATCTATCGAAACGCCCTGTAACAAAGCATTCAGCCGATCGTAAATAATGAAAACCATAGTTATTGTCTTAAAAGACGGGAAAAAACAGGAAAAAAACTCTCGATAAGACACTTCCCACCCCCTAGGAAATTGCCTCCTTTTGGACCCCCCTCCCCTCGGAATTTCCGTCGCCCTCCGTGGGGGGTATGAATA